CCCTCATTCCTCTGCTCCAATCGAGCGACACTTGCACGCCAGGCCCTGAACGTGGTGTGGGAACAAACTGGGGTTGTGACCCAGGGAGAAGAAAAGGTCACCCTGGGCCAGGCGTGGTTTCCCAGGTGTGGAGAGAAGGTGCACAGCGCTTGTTTTTAGGACGCGCTGTGCGATTCCGCCAGAGGGGAATCCGGGCGGGGCGGGGCGTCGCGGGCTCCCTGCGCAAACGCGGAGACAGGCCGGGGGCCGGCCTCCCTGGCAGGAGGACCAGCAGACGCGAAGGCCCGGAGGTGGGAATAGCGCTCAGCACACCGAGGGCTTTAGCAGGAGCGTGGGGTCCATGCGGAAGGAGGGACTGGGACAGAAACGGCCTACAGGACGGATGTTCACATCCCACCTCGGCTTGCTACTTGCCCTGTGGCCTCGGCTCAATTGTTCCTCCTCCCTGAACCGCCGCTTTCTCACCTGCACAGGGAGAATTAGGCTCTCCCCCTTTCGTGCCTCGTGTTTAGTGAGTGTTGATGCTCGGTTGTGTATTCACAACTGGTGGTTCTGGGCTCCGAGGGGAGGGCGCAGTGGGTTGGACGCTGCTGGCCTGGAAGGAGGCGGGGCTCTGGAAGTCTCTCAAAGCCTCACGGGGGAGGGGCGCCAGAGTGCCCGGGGCTGAGAACCGTGGAGGCAGGGGGAGGACGTACCTGGTGCTCTTGGACTTTCCTTCATTTTTTTTTTTTTTTTTTTTTACTGCTAGAGCCCTTCGTGCATTTACACATCCATTCATCACACACCCATTCATTCATGCATTCGTGCACTCACGTGCAGTCAGCCAGTCAAACACTGGCTGAGCACAGGGGTGTCCCCGCAGGGGGATCCCAGCACTGGGATCCCGCCCTGGCCTCCTGGCGTGAGGCTCCGATGGGCTTTGGAGGAGGTCAAAGCATTCAGTGAGTATCCGGGGACTCCTGAAGGGCACAGGATCTTTCCCTTTTTGGCGTCTTCATTTTCCTCTCCTACAAACGAGGGAGGACATTTTTCCCTGAGAAGCTGTTCCCAGAGCTGACGCTAAAAGAAGGAAGCGTCGGTTTCCTCAGCATTTAGTAGGAGCCAGGCGCTTCCCATTTTTATCCCTTTGAATCCTCAGGTAGGGGGAAAGCCCTGAGGTAGAGATTACCGTTATCTTCCTGTGACAGATGGAGAAACTGAGGCTCAAAGAAGTCGAATCTCTTGCCCCAGGCACAGAGAGCGCAAAGGCCTCGGCACTTAGCTGCTAATGTGCCTAGTAACTGATGACCTCATAGGTCCCCCGGACTGGGCTAAATCTGCCTGGCAACCAGTGACATCACTAACACCTCGCTCATGCTCAACCAATGAGGTACTTGATAACATCAGCGAACAATAAAGTACTTAAATGTGCTGAGGGCCTAATGAGTGCAACATGCTGTTTAAGCCCCTCCTCTGAATTCACACAAGGTCCGGGGTTGCCTCTATAACTGTGTGTAATAATAATTTTAGCCCAGACTTATCGACTGTAGACCACGAGCCAACCAGTTTTACTAACTATTGACACATTAAACCCTCCCACTATTCCAACTGTTAAAAATTAACAAACATTTATATAGTGCTTACTGGGTTCCAGCCACAGTTCCAAGCCCTTTTTATCCTCACAACAACCCTGCGAGTTCATTATTATTATCCCCATTTCATAGTTGAAGAAACTGAGACACAGAGAGGTTGAGTGCTTTGCCCACAGCCACACAGCCAGTGGGACATAGAATTCAAACCCAAGTATTTTGGCTCCGGGTTTGTGCCGTTAACCAAGACACGATGCTACTTCTGTCATCCCCCCCGTTGCCATGGAGGAAACTGAGGCACACAGTGGTTTAAGCACTTGGCCTCCGCTCGGCTTGAAAGTGCCAAAGCCAGACTCTGAGCCCAAGACGTCCAGCTCCAGAACCGCACGTTAAAAAAAAAAAAAAAAAAATTCATTTATTGACTTGAGAGAGAGAGGAAAGAAGAGAGAGAGAAACATCAATTTGCTGTTCCACTTACTGATGCATTCATTGGTTGATTCTTGTATGTGCCCTGACCAGGGATCGAACCTGCAACCTTGATATATGGGGAGGATGCTCTAACCAACTGAGCTACCTGGCCAGTGCCCAGAACTGCACTCTTATGCACACGTGTACCTCTTCGGTTACTCAGAGGCATGGCCTGCATAGTCCTCAACCCCACCCCTCTGAGGTGACCAGCCCTCCTTTCCTGTCCCCTGGGGAACAGTCCCCAGCCAGGAACAAAGGTGCCTTTACCAGCAAACCACAGACCACACCCTAGACTCCCAAATAGTCCCCCTCCAACGCGCCTCGGGACGCTGCCCTTTGGGAACCCTGGCTGTCTGGGCGGGGCCTCACCGGGGCTCCTTCGAGCCCACCCTGGGACCCCAGGGAGAGGACACAGTTCTCCAGCTAGCTTTTGTCCTTGTGCTCCGAGCCCAACCCTCATGCAGGCCTTGGAGAAACTCCCCATCCCACAAGTCTCTGAGGCTGGTGGAGGCGTTTGGGAGAGACACTGGAAGCTTGCTGGGCAGGTCGCAGCCCTCAGTGGGCCTGAACTTCTCCATCTGTCGATGGGGCAGACAGGGAGGAACTAACAGAAAAGGCTTCTGCAAGCCAGCTGGGTTTTCAGTCATTGAACACGACACCTCGCTTCCCTTTTATAAAAACAGTTGTTTTCATGGGAAGAGTTTTTTTTCCTTTAATGTTTTACCTACTCATTCAGTGAATGTTTTCTTAAAGATTTTATTTCTTTATTTTTAGAGAGAGGGGAAGGGAGGGAGAAAAAGAGAGAAAGAAATATTGATGTGTGGTTGCCTCTCACATGCCCCCAACTGGGGACCTGGTCCGCAACCCAGGCCTGTGCCCTGACTGGGAATCAAACCAGTGACCCTTTGGTTCACAGGCTGGTACTCAATCCACTGAGCCATACCAGCCAGGGCAGTGAATATTTTATTAAAGTGAAATGCACAGGAGTGCTGGGCAATGGCTCAGCAAATTTTGCGAAGCGGGCACACCTGGTAAGCAGCCCCCTCATCTGCCCCTACGCCACAGTTACCCGCTCCCCCAAGGATAACGTCCATCAGCCTTCTAACGCCATAAGATACTCTCTCCTATGATTGAAATTCCCATGATTGGACTCAGGTGACCTGGACGGTCTTGTGTCCCTCATCCTTCATTCAACATTATGTTTCTCAGTGTTTTCTGTGCAGCTGGACCCCAACTCTCTTCATATAACAGGAGATTTGAAACATCCTCTTTGCTATCTTGAAATAAAATCCACAGATGATATAACCTACTTACACTTTTTTTCCCCAGTCTGATGTGTTGTCCTAAGTATACCATAAAGACACAAGTGGCCCTGGCCAGGTAGCTCAGTTGGTTAGAACATCTTCCGGACAAGGTTATGGGTTTGATCCCTGGTCAGAGCATATACGAGAATCAACCAATGAAAAAATAGGTGGAATAGCACATTGATGGGTTTTTTTCCCTCGCTTTCTCCCCCCGTTCTCCTCTCTCTCAGAAAGAAAGAAAGAAAGAAAGAAAGAAAGAAAGAAAGAAAGAAAGAAAGAAAGAAAGAAAGAAAGAAAGAAAGAAAGAAAGAAAGAAAGAAAGAAAGAAAGGAAGGAAGGAAGGAAGGAAGGAAGGAAGGAAGGAAGGAAGGAAGGAAGGAAGGAAGAAAGAAAGAGGGAGGGACACAAATGGATGGTCATACAGTGTGGCAGCTAAGGCTTGGCAGAGACAGGTTTTGTGGGGCCTGAAGCTTATGTCGTTTTGAGGGGGTTCTCCTTAAGAAAAATAATCAGCCCGGGTGCAGATAACCTTTGGTAGAGGGAATTGTTCATCAGATGAGAAAAGACATTACAGCAACTTGTTTCATTTTGGAAGCTGACACACAGTCCAAACATTCCAGAGACGTATCATACCAGCTTCTGGGTCCAAACGCTTCAAACCCGCGTCTCCACGCCCGCCATGTATTTCCGGTGCCCAGTGCCCTGGCACGCGTGACATCGCAATCCCCAAGCCTTCGTGTCATTACGCCCAATTCCTGCACCCGGCAGGCTCGCCGTCACAGTCACAAACGTGACCGTGAATTTTATCAATATCCCACAAACACCCGGACTCAACTCCGCCTTAGTCAGGTCCCCCAAATATGCATCCCGCTCCCACACCGTGGACGGGAGACTCTGCGGGGAGGCTGCGACAGAAGGGGACAGCAGATTGAACACATAGCTCTTAAAACATCTCGCTTTGGGCAACTTTCCTGCCGCGTGTGGCTCCCTGAGCTCACCGCAGCGATCTGGGAAAGAGGCTGGAGCGCGGGGCGTGAAGCCTAAGACCGTCACGACTGGGTGAGCAGGGCGCTCCGCGCTCCGTGGCCCTGTGCAGGTGGGCGGGGCACCCGGCTGCTTTGGCCTCGGTCTCCTCCTTGGTGAAATGGGCCGTGACTTAGCGTCTTCCTCCAGACCTGGGGAGAAGAGTCAATGTGTGGAAAGCGTTTAGCCCCACTTTGCAGATGTGAAGGGCTCCCCATCCCGCCAGCTGTGTGGCTTTGGGCAAGTCACTCAGCCTCTCTGTGCCTCGCTTTCTTCATCCACAAAATGGGGATAATAATCATCGTCGCCTCACAGGGTGGGTGTGAGGTTTGAGCAAACCACCCCCACTGTGCAGAGGAAACCAGGAGGCACAGAAAAAACCTCCTGCGAAGGCCCCACTAGTGAGTGGGGTGCCTCTTGCCCATCCCCTTGCTCACTCTCCCTCGCACCCTGAGATTCTTTGGCCTCTTTCTGCTGCCATGTGTCCCGGTGACCTCAGCTGTAACGCTGGACACCCTGCAGGTTCCCAGGACCTTAGCAGCTGCTCATGCGCAGCCCCCTCGCCCTGCGCCCTCCCAGACGACCTCTGTCCTCACCTCCTCCGCATACTCACCGTGCCTCCCCCACCCTCTTGCAGCCAGAATCTGTCCAGCGAATACTTCCGGTACAAAGGCATCCTCTTCCCCTCGGTCATCTACTCCCCTGAGAGCATCAGCATCACCGAGAACGCCGAGGTGCGGGAAGATGACATCTTCATCGTCACCTACCCCAAGTCAGGTACCTGCTGGGCTGGGCTGCGGGGTGGGGCTGGGGGGCATGTGCAGAGGATGAGAAGGGCACAGCGAAGACAAGGAGAAGAGCAAAGGGGGGCTGGGTCTCTTCAGAGCGAGGTGACCTTGGCCTTTGCACTGGCGGGTCCCCCACCCCAGGAGCACCCTTCCCCCCAGATCCCTCTCCTGTCACGTCCCCAGGCAGACCTTCCCTGACCTCGGTGGCTAAAATAGCGCCCCTACCCTATCCCTCTCTATCCCCCTAAGTAACCTCATCCTCTGTTCCACATAACAGTACCAACCGTTATATTTTTATCTCTTGATTTATTCTCCGGTTTCCCCACTAGAAGGTGAGCTCCCTGAGGGCAAAGATTTTATTTTTTTTAAGATTTTAGTTATTTATTTTTTAAAGAGAGGGAAAGGGAGGGAGAAAGAGAGAGAGAGAGAGAAAAACATGTTGCCTCTCACATGCCCCTGACTGGGGATGGAATCTGCAACCCAGGCACGTGCCCTGACCGGGAATTGAACTGGTGACCTTTAGCTTTGCAGGACAACCCTCAGCCCACTGAGCCACACCAGTCAGGGCGATGAGGGCAGATTTTTAGTTTGTCTTTTCATTGCTGTGTTCTTTGAGCCTGAAACAGTGCCCGGCACATCATAAATATTCAATAAATATTTGTAGAAGGGAGGAAGAGAGGGAGGGAGGGAGGTTTCAGTGAGAGAGGAGAGAAAATCCAGCCTTCTCTTCTCTAAAATGATGGGCTTGACTTTTTTTTCAGAATATTTTTTGAAAAACTTCAAAATAGGACATTCACCCTTTCAGCATGGAGTTCTGTGTGGGGTTTTTTGGATAACAGCTTCGAGATACAATTCACATACCAGAGAGTTCGCCCATTTTTAAAAAAGATTTTATTTATTTTTAGACAGAGGGGAAGAGAGGGAGAGAAATATCAACGTGTGGTTGCCTCTCACGTGCCCCCTACTGGGGACCTGGCCCACAACCCAGGCGTGTGCCCTGACTGGGAATCGAACCGATGACCCTTTGGTTCTCAGGCGGGCGCTCCATCCACGGAGCCACACCAGCCAGGGGACAGTTCACCCATTTTAGAGTGTGCAGTTCTAGAGCTGTATCCATAGCTGTGCAACCATCACCACAGTCAGTTTCGGAACACTTTCATCACCTCAGCAGGAAACCCCATGCCCAATCCCCACATTCTTGTCCCCAGGCCCCTGGCAACCACTAATCTGGTTTCTGTCTCTGTGGATTTCCCTATTCTGGACATTTCATATAAAGGAATCACACAAGACATGTCCTTTTGTGACTGGATTCTTTCACTCAGCATAATGTTCCCAAGGTTCATCTTAACCAGCCCCTTACTGATTAGTATGTACTAGATTCCTATCCTTTGCCTTGATGCACAATGTGAACTTTATATACAACCCCCCATCTCATACATGCATAATAGGCACACATATGCATTTGTACAAGTATTTTTTAAAAGATTTTATTGTATTTTATTTTTTTTAGAGAGAGGGAAGTGAGGGAGAGAACCATCAACGTGTGGTTGCCTCTCATGCGCCCCCTACTGGGGACCTGGCCCGCAGCCCAGGCCTGTGCCCTGACGGGGAATCAAACAGGTGACCCTTTGGTTCATAGGCTGGCTGGAGCTCAGTCCACTGAGCCACACCAGCCAGAGCTGCACAAGTATATTTTTTATTATGTAGGATAAATTCCTAGGTATAGACTTGCTTGGTCAAAGGGGTGCGTTGGCAATTTTGATGGATAAACCAAATTTCCCTCCATCCAAGTTTGGAAATCTGTTCCCCAAATAGCAGGCTGTGTGCGAAACAGCTTTGGGCACCGATGGTGGTGATGTTCACACAACGACGTGAATGTTCGGTGAACTGTACACTTAAAATGGATAAACTGGTAAATTTTATGTTCTGTTTATTTTATCACACACGCAAAAGAATTATTAACTAGTAACAGGGGATTCAACTACTAAGGCACAAAGAGAGCCCCAATGGATACCAGAAGAGCCAATACAGGGAGCAGCCACGTCCTGTACGGCTGAAGCAGAACAGTCAAGGAAATTTGCTGGGGGCGCGGGAGGGGGGTCAGGATCACTGGGTCCACAGCACTGCTGGCCGCCGTCCCTCACGGGAGCCGGCTCAAAGGAGCCCTTGAAAACCAGGAAAAGAAACCCCCATCCTCCTGCAGGGTTCCTCCAGCGCCCTCTACTGACAGAGCTTAACATTGCGCCGGCTGGCAAAGGAGAAATGTTTGCGGGGTCCAGTCCCAGTGCCAGCCAGCAGTGTGGATCTGGAGCCGTCGGGCGATGCCCTGAGAACTGGCAGAGGGCGGTTGTTAGAATCCAAAGCAATATAATACTAATAATAGGTGATCGTTAACATTTAGTATTATCATTGCTGGACTGACTTGCTGGTAGAATCCTAGAACCCACACCCGTGAACTGGGTCATATAGGAGGTCCCTTCCTTCTACATGTACTTTGCGGTTCCTCACAAAGTCAGGGGGTTACCCCCCAAAAGGGGCAGTGAAAAGAGGTGAGTTTTAAAGTCCAGACGCTTGGATTCAATTCTAGCTTCCCTATGTATTAGTGAGTCCCTCTGCCCTAATATATAAGCCTCGGAATCGAAGAAGCTAGACCCCATAGAAGCTTATTTTTCACCCTGTAAACTCCAGCCAGGCCAGCACGGACGGAGGGAAGTGTGTGTGCGGCGGCAGGGGTGGCGGGGGTGACCCGGCAGTCTCGGGCGGCCCGGCTCCTTCCGGCTGTGGCTCTGCCATCCCCGGGAGCCCCGGTTTCCACTGGTGTCTCTGCATCCAGCCAGCAGACAGGGGAGCGAGAGAGTGTGGGTCACGTGGGAGGTGTTTATGGGCCAGGCCTGGAAATGGCTGCACATGGCTGCCACCTGCACGTCCTTGGCCAGGACTCAGTCACATGGCTCCGTGCAGCTGCAGGGGAGGCTCTGGAGTTCCGTCATATTCCCCGTAGGAAAATGGAACGGGGCTGGATGGACAGCTAGCCAGTCTCCGCCACGCGCCACTTCTGAGCTTTGCCACCTGGGCCAATGACCTCGTTTCTATGAGCTTCAGTTTCCTGCTCTGAAAATAAAGATGACCAACCCCGCCATTTCCCCTGGTTGTGAGCAATCCATGCCATCAGATATGTAGCCGTTCGTACAATAAACGCAGCCATTATAAATCCTATCATGTCCCCCTCTTCACCCCTCCCCACTTCCGATTAATTTGCCCAATTTCTCCTTCCAGGCACCAACTGGATGATCGAGATCCTCTGCTTAATGCTGAAGGACGGGGACACCTCCTGGGTCCGCTCAGAGCCCATCTGGAAGCGGGCGCCCTGGTGTGAGACCGTCATGGGTGCCTTCAGCCTCCCGGACGAGTCCAACCCCCGCCTCATGAGTTCCCACCTCCCCATCGAGCTCTTCACAAAGTCCTACTTCAACTCCAAGGCCAAGGTGCGGGGCAGGCAGGGGGCGGGGGGAGGAGGGAGGCGGGGAGGTGAGGGGAAAGAGGGCATCACTCACTGATGATGAATTCAGCACATATTTATCAAGCGCCGCCCACATCCTAAAGAGGAACAGGCAGAGAATAGATGGAATAAATAAGGAAACTATTGACTGTGTCCCAGATGAAAACTTCCCATCGTGAAGGAGGAGAGGGTGAGTGTTAGCATTAGGGGCAGGCGTTGCAATTTTAAGTAGAGTGGTCAAGGGAGGCCCCGGTGAGAATGTCCCATTTGAGTAAAGACCTGGGAAGTGAAGGAGGGAGCCAGTGGGGGCAGGGAGAGCCGCGGGGGAGGGGGGGCGGGGAAGAAAATTCCAGGCAGAGGCACGAGCGGGTGCAAAGGCCCTCGGGTGGGTGTTGTGCCTGAAGACCAGCAAGAAGGCTCGTGTGACCAGAGCTAAGTGATCAAAGCGGAGAGGAGTGGAAATGAGGTCAGGAAGGTCACGGGGGCCCAAATGTGCACTGCCGTGTTGGCTGTGATGGGGACTGAAGCTGGGGCTCTGAGCAGGGACTGGAGACTTGGGTTTTCAGTGGCGCCCTCTGGTGGCGAGGTCGGGAACAGCCCGTCGCCACGGGGGACGGTAGCAGGGAGAAGGCGACTTCGGGAGAGTCCAGATGGGAGGTGCCGATGGAGATGACCAGGGTGGTGGCCATGGAGGTGAAGAAAAAGGGCTGTAATTTGAAGGTAGAACCAGGACAGTTTGCTGACAGATTGGATGTGGGTGTGAAAGAAACAGATGAGTCAGGGGTGGTGTCTCCTGGGCGTTTGGCTTCAGGAAGTGGGAGGAGGGGGGCTGTCATCAACTGAGATGGAGAAAACAGGGAGAGGCTTGGGAGGGCGCTGGGGAGCCCCGCTGCAGCCCATCCGCGTCCCGGTGGAGGGGGCCGCGGGCAGTGAGATAGAGGAGTCTGGATTTGACAGGAGAGATCTGGGCTGGACCCACGTGTCTGCAATTTGTATGTAGATTACGAGATGAGTCACTAAAGCCTGGGTCACCAAGGAGGTGCGTGAAGACGGAAGCGAGACGGCTGCAGCCCAGGTCTCCCCAAGACCACCCTTGGGCTCCGCGATCCTCTGGAAGGGCTCAGACCTCAGCAAAGCTGTTAGACTCCCAGTTACCGCTATCACGGTGACAGGACAGAGATTAAAATCAGCAGAGGGGCCCTGGCTGGTGTGGCTCAGTGGGCTGGGCGTCGTCCCACAAACTGAAAAATCGCCCGTTCGACTCCCAGCCAGGGTGCGGGCCGGGTCCCCCGTGGGAGGCGTGTGAGAGGCGACCGATGGATGTTTCTCTCGCACATCGATGTCCCCCCCCACCTGTCTCTAAAAATAAACAAAAATCTTTTAAAAATAAAAAATATATATATATAAATAAAGTCGGCAGAGGGAAGAGGCACGTGGGGGGAGCCGAGACTCGGTGGCAGCTGCCTTTGTCCGTCCCAGGGGACTCTCATGAACTGCACTTAACCCTCCCGGCAATGACGTGGGACAATGAGCCTAGAGTATTGCCCACGAGGGACGCTCACACGAGACTTGGTGTCCAGGGTTTTTGTTGGAGGTTGGTCACTTAGACACACGTGGCCGACTGACTACCACGTGGCTGACCTTGATTTTGGGAAAGGAGACAGTTGACAAGAAAGGGCGCGCCTGAGGGGACAGGAGGGGCCTGGCTGTAGACTGTGAGCCTGGCAAACGGATTGGAGCCAGCTCAGCGGGGCCGCGAACACCCGGCCCGGGGCTGGGACTGTATCCCGGGCGCTGGAGAGCCAGGGAGGGCAGGGGCAGCTCTGGGTGAAGAGAGACGCCCTGGCGCTGTGCGGAGGTTGAGGGGTCGGGGAGGAGGCCGGGCCGAAGGTCCAGGCAGGAAAGGTTGAGGCTGGGTCCTCGGCTCTGGCAACAGGAAGGAGAGGCAGCTTCTCTTCTGTCTGGGTCAGCGCCTCTCATCCTGATCTCCCCCATCCTGAGCCCCATCCCTTTCTCATCTGCTCTTCATTCCCTGAAGCCACACTGTCCGTCCACCTGACCCAGAAAGAGCCCCTCTCTCCTCCTAGAATGTGGTTGCAGGGGGCTCTCTCCGTCCTCTGTCTGGGATGAGGTGAAATGATCTGAGCTACCAGAAGCTGGAAAGTCCCCTGAGAAGTCTACCCTGAGGCCTTCGTGCTTCAGGGTCAGAAGAGGGGGGCTCCGAGCACACAGCCTCCGGGGCTGGGGTCCGGCCGTGCCTGACGCCTTCGCCCCTCCCCCTCCCCCTCCCCAGGTGATTTACATGGGCCGGAACCCCCGGGATGTGGTCGTCTCACTCTATCACTACTCCAAGATTGCCGGGCAGCTGAAGGACCCCGGGACCCCAGACCAGTTTCTGCAGAACTTCCTCAAAGGCGAACGTGAGGACAGAGGGGGGGGCGGGCCACAGGAGTTCCTGGCGGGCCAGAGAGGAGGGACCGAGGAGGGAGGAGAAGGGGAGAGAGGCCGAGATGTAGGGCGCTGTAGAGGAGACCCAGAGAAAGAGAGTGAGAGGGACGGAGGGAGAGAGGGAGACCAGGAAACTGAGGGAGAAACCAAAGACCATGAGAGAAACAAGCAGGGAGAAAGCACCAGAGAGAGACCGAGGCGCAGTAAGCCAGGGACAGAGAAATGAATGCAGGATAAGATGGAGACAGAGAGAGACAGGGAGAGTGACACCAGGCGCCAGATGGGGGGGCTGGGTGGGGAGGGGAGGGATCCCTCTCGGAGGGGCCCTGTGGGGCTAGTGAGGTCCCTCTGAGCCCCAGCGCGGTGGCCCTGTTGCCTGGCCCTCACCCCTCCGCCTCTCTGCACCTCTGCCCTTCTGTCCGCAGTGCCGTTCGGCTCCTGGTTCGACCACATTAAAGGCTGGATTCGGATGCAGGGCAAAGAGAACTTCCTGTTTATCACCTACGAGGAGCTGCAGAAGGTGATTCCCCGCCCCCACGTGGCCCAGCACCCCCCACGTTCCTCCCCTCCTCAGCCCCCCACTGCCCCTCCATAAGGCCGCTCTCCTGCGGATGCGCCAGGTACTGGGGCGACAGCCGCGAACAGAACAGGGTCCCTGAGCCCGGGAGCGGCAGAGGGGCCGTAGGCAAATAAATAAAAGAGATGGCAGCGGGGAGAAGAGCTAAGGAGAAAAGGAAAGAGGGAGTATGGCAAGGAATGTGTGGGTGGGGTTTTAAGTAGCATGGTTGGGGGAGGTGAGAGTTTACATAAGGAGGTCAGGGGAGCTGAGATTCTAAGAAGGTTGGTAGGGGAGGCCCCCAGGAGAAGGTAACGCTTGAGCTGAGCGAGGATCTGAAGGAGGAGAGGGAGCCACGGAGATACCTGGGGAAGTGTCCCAAGCAGAGGGACCCACGAGTGCAAAGGCCCTGGGGTGAGGGTGTGCTTGGTATATTCCAAGGGTGGGAAAGAGGCCTTGTGCCCAAGAGCATGCGGGTGGGGTGAGACATGGAGGCAGACAGTAAGGACTTTGGCTTTTCTCTGAGTAGGTGGGATCCACAAGTGGGTTCTGAGCAGGGGAGGTGATAGGATCGATGACATCGTGTGAAACTGTGGCACGTGGAAAGCGAAGTTCACGGGTGGCTGTGAGCTGAAAGGCAGAGGGAAGCCGGGGAAGGACACAACTCTGGCATTAGACTGGGATCCTGTCTGGACCCCAGCAGACGGTAACCTGGGACAGGGCTCCCAGGAGAGAGGCGCCTTCTGGCCGGAACAATCAAGGAGGGCTTCCTGGAAGCAGAGGCCATGCAGAATGCCTATGGCTTTGTCCAGCTGCAAGGAAGATGCTGGGTTTCTAGCTGGAACAATCCACAGTGAACGTGCTCAGCCGTTCTAGGTTTTTAGAGAAGATCTGTCCCGAGAGCCCCAAAGCCTGGATCGCTCCCAATTTGTGTCCCTTCACCAACGGCCCCAGACATGTTCCCTTCTTGTGCGTACACTTCGTGTATTTTTTGTATTCTTTCTGCCGGTACTTTTTGTAGGGCAAAGAGACTGGATTTTGGTGTCCAGTGAAGCAGTTAAAATCTCTCAGAACCTCTGAGGTCTCATCCTTAAAACGGGTGAAAAATGCCCGCTCACAGCACTGTTGGGAGGACCATAAACCCAGCACTGGCATATCGTAAGCACCTGACCAGGTTAGATACTGAAACGTTAGCACAGTGTGTAAAGTAACGGTGACCGGGTTCTGAGCAAGGGCCTGATTAGCAACAACTGAAAGAGCAAATACCATGCGCCAAGCCCTACACATGGGTTGTCTATCCCATATAATCTTCACAAAACGCAGACCAGTGAGCTACAATGGTACCGAACCACCTGCAGTTGCTGACATTGGGGAATTTTATATGGTTCATCCCAATATTGTCATGATCCCCATTTTTTAAATGATTTTATTTCTTTATTTTTAAAGAGAGGGGAAGGGAGGGAGAAAGAGAGGGAGAGAAGCATCAAGGTGTGGTTGCCTCTCACACACCCCCAGCTGGGGACCTGGCCCACAGCCCAGGCACGTGTCCTGCCTGGGAATCCAACTGGCCACCCTCCGGTTTGCAGGCTGGCCCTCAATCCACCGAGCCACACCAGCCAGGGCCCATGAGCCCCGTTTTAAGAGGAGGTAACAGTGTGGATCAGTTGGTTGGGCGTTGTCCTGCAAAGCAAAAGGTTGCTGGTTCAATTCCTGGTTGGGACCCATACCTGGGTTGGGGGTTCAGTCCCCGGGAGGGGAGCGTGCGAGAGGCAACTGATCAATGTTTCTCTCCCTCTCTCCCTCCCTTCCCCACTCTCTAAAAATAAACAAACAAATAAAGAGGAGGAAATAGAGGGTTTATAACCTCGAGAGGCTTGGTAGCTTGTCTGAGGCACACAGCCCTTGCCTGTGGACCCCACGGGTGGTTTTTTTTCATCCTGGTAAATTTCTTTTGCTGGAAAGATCCCCACAAGATTTTGGCATTACTGCCGCTGCCCCCCCCCCGCCCGCCCCCCCTCTTTCCCATTCAGCTTTAGTCTCCAAACCCAAAACTGGGCCATGGAGCCTGCCAGAGCTTCTGGGCTGCCCCTGGGTGGGAGGGACTGCCAACTTGTTAGAATTTCTGGGACACGTCAGTGGTTCAAGAGGATGAAGGGCTGGGCGGTTATGAAACGAGGAATGACCTGGAAAATCGGGGCCGTGGGGCGGGCGGAGCTGACCGGAAAGCTGACTGTCCCGGTGCAGGTCAGGGAAGACAGACAGGTAGAAGGGAGGACCGTGCGCACCTCCCAACAAGCGTCTTCCCCTCTCTGAGCCTCTGTTTACCAACTGGAGGGACTGAGAACTCTCTGCCAGACTGTGGGCCGGATCAGCCCCCCGCCGAGAACAGGGAGGACAGTGCCGTGTCCCCAGGAGGAGGGGGTGGGGAGCACTTGAGAAGAGTTGTCACACCTGTCCTTGAAAGCCAGGCCTGGGGACTGGAACTCTTGTCCCCGGGCCCTGGGGAGCCACAGGAGGGCTGGGAGCAGGCCCAGGTCCGGGCGAGGAGGGGCTGGAGGCAAGGAGGCCCAGGAGGGGGCAGAGCGAGGGCTCATCGAGAGAGAATTAGACCCGATCAGGGCCAAGGCTATGGGGACACAGAGGGGAGGTGGCAGAGAGGGGTGGGGCTGATGACTGGCAGGAACAGCCCGGGGAAGGAGAGCAGGGGTGAGGCCAGGCCGGGAGCCTGGCCCCATGACTGGGCGAGAGATGGGGCCGCTCCAGGATGGGCACCTGGGAGAGGAGCCAGTCTGGGGCACCGCCGTTTCTAACCTCAAGGAGGGTGATTCTCCATAAGGTGATGGACTGACCTCTGCCCCCTGCTGTGACCTCTGACCCCACTCCACCCCTTCCGTCCCACCACAGAACCCTCCAAACCCTCAGAGGCCATAACCCAACCCCTGGGGCTGGAGGTGGAAAAACTGAGGCACAGCGGTGGAGTCACCCAGACAAGTCTCGGTTGGGACTCCAGCATCCAAACTCTGGCTCTGGGGGTCCTTCCTGGCCTGGGACTTCCTCCCCCCGCTGTACCTTCCCTCGCCTGGCCCCCCTGACTCCCCCTCTCCGGCCCCCAGGACCTCCCCGGCTCCGTGAAGCGTGTCTGCGAGTTCCTGGGCTGGCAGCTGGGCGAGGAGGCGCTGGCCTCCGTGGCGGAACACTCGGCCTTCGAGGCCATGAAGGCCAACCCCATGTCCAACTTCACGCTGCTGCCCCCCATCCTGCTGGACCATCGCCGCGGCGCCTTCCTCCGGAAAGGTACGGGCCTTCCGGGCTTCCAGGCTGCTGCCTGGCTGTGCGGCTTGGGCGAGTTACCTAACCTCTCTGAGCCTGTGTCCCCAGCTGTAATTTGGGGCTGCCCCGAGCAGAACTGCCTTCACGGTGTCATGGTGGACCCAGGATGGGCTCCGCACACAGGGCTAAGCAGGGGCCCAGAGGCAGCGGGTGCTGCGGGTGTGCCTGTCACCCCAGGCCTCATCCTCCAGCCCCAAGAGCTGCAAACGGCAACCAAAGGCCACGGCCAGCCCTGAACTATAGAGGGCTGCTTAAACACTCAGGTGTTGCAGGAGGGGCTGAGGATGGAGGCGTGTTAGTTTCCTGTGGCTACTGTAACAAATTGCCACAAACTTAGTGGCTGAAAACAACACACATTCATTCTCTTGTAGTTCTGGAGGTCAGGAGTTCAAAATCAGTCTCGCTGGACTAAAATCAGCGGCAGCAGGCCCACGTTCCTTCTGGAGGCTCTAGGGCAGAATCGCTCCCTGCCTCTCCCGCGTCCAGTCTGGCCTGCGTTCCTTGGCGCCTGGCCCCCTCCCCGCACCTCCAAGGCCAGCAGCGTAGCCTCTAGTCTGACTCTGATCCCCCTGCCTCCTCTTATAAGGACGCTTGCGATTGAATGGGGTCCACCTGGATAAACCAGGGTCCTCTCCCCACCTTGAACTTAATCACATCTACAAAGTCCCTTTTGCCACAAAAGGTCGCCTATTTGTGGGTTCCAAGGATGAGGACGTGGACATCTTGGGGGGTTCCTTAGTCAGCTCACCCCAGGGCGCCCCTTCAGACCTCACCAGGGGTGCCATGTAATATGTGGCTAGGGCACCTGCTAAAATTCAAAATGCCGTGATCCAGGTGATATTGGCTCTAGGATTCCAGGTGAGAGGTGGAGCCCAATGATATAACCTGGGGCTGGGAATCCCATGCCCGGGACACAGGGGACTGGCAGGGCTCCCGCCCCTGCCTGCTGGGTTGCCCGGCCCGAGTGGGTGCAGGGGAAGCACAGGTTCCCAGGGTGAGCGCAGTGATGGAAGGTGAGTACGGTGCTGCAGACGCCTTGGGGCAAGGAGGCCCTGTTCTAGTCCTCGAGGTTAGTGGCAGGTCACAGAGAAGGTGACCCAGGGGCTGTGCAAGGTGCGCAGGAAGGCTGGATGGGGAGGTGGGTGTTCTGGGCAGAGATTTAAGGTGTCGAGGCTAAAGTGGAGGCAGGAAAGAGGTCTACTGGCTGGATGGGGGGGTGGCCACCAGAGGGAGGGGGCAGGAATGGGGCTCCGGGGTCTGGCCAGGTCCCCCGCGGCCAGTGTGTGGGTCAGCAGTCACAGGTGTGAAAGGGGCAAGATGGAGGCGGGGCTTCTGGCATAGGGAACAGCATGGGCGAAGGCCCGGAGGTGGGAAGCAGGGTGCTGCGATGGTGGGGCGATGCTCCGGACGGTCCTCACCTCGCATCACCTCCCTCCTCCCCAGGGATCTGCGGAGACTGGAAGAACTACTTCACCAAGGCGCAGAGCGAAGCCTTCGACCGAGTCTACCGCGAGCAGATGCAGGGGCTGCCGACCTTCCCCTGGGATGAGGACCCCGAAGAAGCCAGTCCGGACCCTGAACCCAGCCCCGATGCCAGCCCCGATGCCAGCCCCGATGCCAGCCCCGACCCCAGCCCCAGCCCAGACCAGGCCTCTGAGCACCCCGCTCCATGACTCTGAAAATAAACGCATAGCTCCTGCCCAGCCTCCTCGAGGTGTTCTGGAGGTGGCATGCCACGGGAGGACAGCAGGGGGCGCGCGCGCGCAGGCTGGGTGGGGACCCCTCATCCGGCGCCAGGGCCTCCCCAGGGCGAGGTCCTCTCCCCTACCTGGCGCGACAATGGGGTTGGCGACCCGAAACCCCGGCAGCGCAGGGCACCTGACTCCCCCAGGGCCAGAGAGCTGCGGCCAGGACTCCTGGGTCCTTGGGGAGAAGGGGGATAGGGACCAGGACCCCTGCGTCAGAGGGAGGAGTGGCTGGGGACCTGGACCCCCGGGTCTCCCGCTGGGGCGTGGAAATGCAACTTTCTGACATGCAGCAGGTTTATTCGGAACAGAGGTACAAGGGAGCCCCAACAACTCACCCCTCAGCAGCCACAAAACCGTCCCAGCATCTGCCCAGTGCCTCTCCAGGACCCTGGGCCATTCCGCAGCAGCTGTGCCCGCACCGGTCCCCAGTCCCTCATTACGCAGCTGTGGTCCCTCGGTGCGGGTCTCTCCTCCCCTCGGTCGAGCTCGGCGTGCCCACACTCCTGAGCCTGTGGGTCCCGGGGACTCTCCGTCTTCCACCCACACAACCCAGCGTGGGGGCTCCTCAGCCAGGCCTCCCCTCGAAGAAGCTCCGACGCGGCCGGGAGGGGATGGGCGCCGCTGTCCCAGGACCCCGATGTGGCGCGCGCACTTTCTAGATGATAACGCGAGTGGACGTGGCAGGTGCCCAAGTTCTAGAACAAGTGGGAAAAAACCCCTTCTGCATCCCACACTTCCAGGCCAGAGGCGCTGCTGAGAGGTGGGGCTCTGCCAACCCGCTCTCCGGCGATGGGCCAGCCCACCGTGGCCTTGACTCCTGTCAGGGTCGCCCCCTGAGTCCTGGCCCCTTGGCCCAGTCTGGCTGGCGGCCGCCTCTGGGTTCGGGCGGTTTGGGTGCAGCATCCTCCCCAAATCTCCTCCGGGTTGGGGACAGGTAGCGGAGGTGGCGGGCCGGGATGAGGGGCCGGGGGCCGCCCCAGGGCTGGGACCCGGTGGGCGGCCGGGAGTCCACCTCACCCCTGGGGGTCCCCCCAGCGCCCCGCTGCCTCATCAGGGCCTTGGCTGGGGTGTCCTTGGAGCCCCAGGACTTCTTGAGCTGTGGAGGGAAAGAGAAGGAGGTGAGAGCAGGCTCCTGCGGGCTGAGGCTGGGGAGGGGGGAGGGGAGGGAGGTCAAAGCTGCAGGAGGTGGGGCAGGCACAATATGAAAGGAGGAAGGAGGCGGGACGGGAGGGACAGACGACTCCGAAGGCGGAGGGAAGGGAAGCGGGGTGTGACCTCTGAGTGGGGTGGGGGGCAATGCGAAGGCTCCTGAGCCCCAGAACCAGGAGGGACGTGGGCACCGGGGACCCCAGGGGGGCGAGGAGGTGTGCCCCCGCAGTGGGAGGACCCGGAAGCAGCCAGCAGCTCTGCGGCCGGAGCAAATATTTGCCAAGGGAGGCGATGCTGGGTGAGGGCGGCTGAGGACCAGGTGGAGGCGAGGACCTTGGCCCTGCCCCACCCATCCGTCCCCCTTCTCTCCGGGGGCCGGGGAGGCAATTCCTGGGAAATTTCTCCCTCATCCTCCAGACAGGCCTCTAGCTCCAACCCAGCAGATGGGAAACTGACGCTTAGAAGGGACACAGCTCACAGAGGGCCCCTCCCCCGGGTCAGCCTGCAGCCAGGGCGAGTCTCGTGCTCTCTCAACAGCGCACTGTGCAGCCAAGGACGCTGGGGCTCGGCCCAGGGTCCCCCAAGAACGGGGCAGGCCCTGCTGACACCTCCGTGTCTAGGCAGCTGAGGGGCAGGGGACCCCTCTGAGCTCATGATATTCGAACCTGGAGAGCCTGGAGAGACTTTCAAAGCCGCTCCCCCTCCCCGGGAGACAACCAGGGCTGAGTTCCAATCCTCCCTGGTGCCTCAGTTTCCCCATCTGTGAAATGGATGGGTGGAGAGTCACAATAACATCCGCCTTCTAACACTGGTGGAAGTTACGTTTAACCACAATTGCCCTGGCTGGAATGGCTCAGTGGACTGAGTGCCATCCTGTGAACCAAAGAGTCACTGGTTCAATTCCCAGTCAGGGCACGAGCCTGGGTTGCAGGCCAGGTCCCCAGTGGGGGGAGCACGTGAGAGGCAACCATACATTGATGTTTCTTTTCCTCTCTTTCTCCGTCTCTTCCCCTCGGTGTAATAATAAATAAATAAAATCGTTAAAAATAAATACATAAATTTAACCATGATTGTGAGGTGCTTGGCGTAGGGCCTGGCATGTGGGAAGGGGCCCACGGGAGACCGTGGCCTTGACCTTGGCAAGTCACTCAACCACGCAGTCGGGGGGGCTCAGTTTTCCCACGCACAACCATGGGCGGGATAAGCGTTTGTCCTCATTGGCCTGGCAGGGGGATGTTGCGAAATAAATTCCATTTGGGGAATTTATTCTAAGAACGACTATTAGAATGTTTCATTCTATGGACTTCTCCCCAGCAAACTGAGGACAAAGCAACCACTCCGCCCATTTCCTAGACGAGAACACAGAGGCTCCGAGAAAGCAGGCCCCTACCCCCAACCCTGCACCCGGGTTCTCGCGGTCATGGCGGGATTCCCACCCGGGGCTCTTGCGGTCTCTTCTCCCTGCCCCCGAGTGCTCTCCTGCCCAGCACACAGTGTGGGTACAGGAAACTAGTGGCGCGATTAGAAACTCAGGTGAACAGCTTGGTTTCCCGCCTTCCCTGGGGCCAGGCACATAGTAGGCCCTCAGAAAAGAGCAGGGGCCCTTGAGCCCAGCTGCATGCGCTTGGACAAGCGCCTTCCCCACCCTGCGGCTCAGCTGCGGCCACCCTCTTCCAGCTATTCTCATTCTCAGGCCAGCCGCCAGGTCTCACCTCATGGTCACCGTCACTGGAGTCCGACAGCTGGGACAGGCGGCTCAGGTCCCACAGGGATCGGCTGGGCCGGGCTGGAGGGCCGCTGGGGGTCCGGGCACGCTGGATGCTCCTCAGGATGTCGCTGAGCGCCGGCCCCGGGATGGCCAGCGTCTCCTGCCTGTCCCTGTCGAAGACGCGGCAGGTGGCCAGGCGCTGGGCCAGTGGTGACACATCCGGCAGTGGCGGTGACGCAGGGGCCACAGACAGGCGGCGGGCCACGCAATGCGGGCTGTTGGCCAGCTTCAGCCCCCCCAGGGCGCTGACAAAGGGGCCCGGAGTGGGCGCGGGTGGGAGGGGCCAGGAGGCCGCATACAGGGTCCGGAACTCGCGGCTGAAGGCGTCGACGATCTCACCGGTCAGCAGGGTCACCAGGCCGCGGTGAAGGCGTGAGTCGCTCCACGTGAAGCTGGGGGGCACGGAGAGGGGGGTCAGGACCTCCACGCAGCCGCAGAGGCCCAGCCTGGCTCCCATCAGCCGTCCCCAACCTGGTCACAGGGCAGGCTGTGTGACCTGCCTTCAGGAAAACCCTGCCACGTCCCTGCCTCAACATCCCCCTCTGTAGAATGGGAACCGCCAAGGTGCCTGCCCCGTGAGGACAGCAGGTTAAGACACTTAAATCATCATCTGGAATCAGACTTGAGTTTAAACCTGGGCTCTGCCCATTCCCCCCAAGGGATGCCTGAGTGTCCCCCTCTGGAAAGAGAAAAGGTTCATTTTCTGACACCGATGGGGACTGTTTTAAGACTCAGCTGCTTCCTGTATGACCCCCTTGATGAAGCACTTGCCATGCGCCGGGCTCGGGTTGCGCCTGCTCCGTTGCCTGTCTGCTCATCTGAAAGGCGGAGCTAAGATGCAGGAAGGTTCAAACGAGAGAGCGCGGACGGAGCACCCTGCACGGTGCCCGGCACGTGCCCAGCGCTGGGAGCCTGCAGGCGTCCGTGAATTGTGCCCTTCTCTCATCAGTGACTGCTATTTAAAGCCATCTAGCACTGGCCTTGCACATAGCAGGTGCTCAATAAATGCCCCCTCTGGAATTAAATAAACCTGGGCTTCCTCTCGTCCTGAGCCTCAGCTTGCCCGTCTGAAAAAAATGGGCTCGCCATGTGCACCTGGCCGACGCAGCACCCAGCACCCAGCACCCAGCAGAGTGGATGGCCTGGTGGGCAGGACAGCAAGCGAGCGGCCGAGTGTCCTCACCTCCGCGGGGTGGCATTGTCTTTGCCCCCTGGCCAGCCTGCCCCTCAGGTTGTGACACCCCTCCCCCACTCTTGACACCACCCCTGGAGTGGCCAGTGGGAACCTGAGCGTCTGGGAGGTCACCCCATTTCAATCCACAAAGACTCTCCGCTGCGCACAACCCCTGGCTCGTTTCTGTCCCAGGGAAACGTCTGAGACCCGGGGACATGAGAGCCGTGGTCACGACGAAGCTCCTGAGAGGGGCATGGCGCGCTAGGAACCGAGGACAGCCCAAGCGCTGACCCTGGGGGGCCAGAACCAGGGGCAAAAGCCTGCTGGGCATCAGGAGCGTCATTCAGCAGTTCCGGGAGGTCACCGCCGCCAGGCCACCAGGGTCCTCGGCTGGCTGCTGGTCCTGGCGACGGCTCTGCCCCCGGGCACGACCAGCACCAAGAACCGCATCTTCTGTGAGCTGACCGACTCCTCGAGCTGCCCGGCGTCCTCATGAGCTGCGGCGACGAGGAGGAGCGCTTCCCAGGCCGGGGGTCGCCCCGGCCTCCGCCCCATCCCCAACAAAGGCTGCGTGCGATCCAGTTCCTGTGCGGCGCAGAGCCTGTCCCCTACCAGGGCGACACCTACAGCCTCAGCTCCACCTGCTGCTACGGCCACCTGCGTAACAGGGTCCCGAACCCCACAGGCAGCCGGACAGCGGACAGCGGACAGCGGACAGCGGACAGCAGACAGCGGAAGCAGGGACCCCCACTGGCCTGGCTGTGACCGGCGTGGAGGGCAGGGCCTGGGACTAGCCTCAAGGCTCCGCTGCTTCCCCGCCTCCTCCCTCTTCCCCTTAAATGGACAGAGGCCCTAGACGACCGCTTGTGGCCCTGGCCTCATCCATGCCAGGGCTGCCCACCAGGAGCCCCGGGCTCCACGATGACGACCCCTGAGGCCTGAGTTGCACAGGGACCACGCCACGTGGGTTTGACAGTCCCGCTGTGTTTCATTGGTCCTAAGACGAACATCTTTTCACGTTTTGATCAGGACGCTTCCTTTCACGGGTGGTATCTTAACGTCAATGAAATATGATAAGAACTATAATAAACGCCAGCCGATATTTCTGAAGCACTTCTTTTTCTTCTTTTTCTTGAAGCGCTTCTTAGGTTCCACGCCAGGGACTGTTCCCTCGCTGGATCCTCACACGAAGCTGGGAAGGCAGATTCTGTTTGAAACCTTTCAGCCCCACCCGGCAGCCCTGCAGCACCCGGGTCGGCCGCGAACTGGCCAGAAAGGCCAGGCCTGGGGCCCCATCCCAGGCCGGCTGCATGGGGGTGGGGCCCAGAAGTCTGCGCTCTACCCAGGCGTCCGGAGCCTGTCAAGGCTGAAAACCATGGGTTTAGGGCACTGGTTCTCAACCATGGGGCACCCCTGCCCCTCGGGGGGGCGGCACTTGGTAATGTCTGGAGACATTTTGGGTTGTCATAACTGGGGAAAGGCACGCTACTCACACCTACGGGGTGGAGGCCAGGGGCGCAGCCCCACATGCCACTGTGCGGGGAAAGCCCCCCACCCCACGGTCACCCGGCCCCAAATGTGAGAGCGCCTCTCGTTGAAACCTTGTCTCGCGGTCACGGACTGCGCCACCCCATTCTGTGGGGGCCCACCGGGGTGAAGTCCGTTGCCCAAAGCCACGCAGCAGGTGACCGGCAGAGCGAGGACTCGAGCCGAGGCCGTCTGCGCCTGGGTCCCCGCCTGCGGCCCCCCTCGCTGGGACGCAATGAGGCGGGTGCTCATAATTCACACTTTCCAGGCGAGAAACGGAGGCTCGGAGTGGAAGGGCCCAGAGTCACAAAGCGAGGAAGTTGCAGAGCCTGGGGCGGGGTCGGTCGGTCCCCGAAGAGAGCAGAGGGGGATGGATGTCACGTGGCCTGAGGACCAGGCCGTTTGCACACCAGGGCTCCTTTCTTCCCCGACACTCTGACAGGCGGCGTTACCCCTGGGAGCATGGGGACTCCAATCCAGGTCCTCCCGGTTTTGCAAGTGCCACAAACCGCAGGCACCATTTTCCAGAGGAGAAAACCGGTCCGAGAGACGAAGGCCCACCCCCGGCCGCTAAGGGGTCGGCCACGGGGCCAGGGTGGGGCAGGCAGGCCTGGCCCCCACCCCAGGCCCATTCTACCCAGTGACACCTCCTCGCCTGGCAGGCTGTTTCCACCCATTTCACAGATGAGGAGCAAGAGGCCAGAGAGGGGCGAGTGCCCTCGGAGCCTCTGAGGGAGAGCCGGGCACAGCACACGGGGGCCTTACCTGTAGGACCCGGAGAGGACCCTGTCGCCGTCCAGCAGCGTGAACTTCTCCTGCACCCTGCCGGTCACCTGCCGGCGCCAGCGGCTCTGGAAACTGCAGCCCCGCACGACACGGACGTCCAGGTTCTGGGAGGTGGGGGACACGCCCTTGCTCAGGCTAACCTCACAGCACCTGCAGGTGGGGGTCCCTCCGGCGGCCCTTCTGGGGGGGCCCAAGACTTTGTAGAAGGGCCTGCCCCAGCATCCCTAGAGCCACCCATCTTGGGCCTGAGGGGTCTCTTGCAGATTCCCCCTACTCAGAGGGCCCCCGTGGGCAGGCCCACCCTGCCTCCCCCAATTCCTGGGGCATCCATCTCAGGGGACGCCCTCAGCTGCCATTACCCGGGATGACCTAGGGCCCCGTGGACAGTGCTCCCGGCACCAGGGGAAGGGGACGCAGTGGTCCCTTCGGCCAGGCCCCTACCTCAGTGGCCCAGGGGCTCACCCCCAGCTTCTGGGCCAGCGTCAGGAAGGCAGGCAGCTGCTGGTGGTCCAGGAGCAGGTAGACAGGCACCCAGCGACGCGTGGCAGCATCCACCAGGTCCAATAGCAGGTCCGGGTCCGTGAACACGTCCATGGTGATGGCCACCAGCTGTGGGGGGTGGGGGGGCTGTGGGTACAGCCTGGGGCTGGGGGACACTCCAAGGGTGGGGCCCTGGGGGTGAGATGCCCTGGGGACCGAGCGTTTAAGGGCCTGCTCCCTGTGGGATGTGCATACAGTGCCCGCATGTGCAGGAGAAAAGGGGGGTCCCCCAGCTGCTGCAGAAGCGCCCTCAGTCACAGGTCTACCGTGGTGAACAGCATCCCCAGGGCTGTGAGGCTACATGGTAGCCCTGCTCCGGGGGTTGGTGGGCTGGATGCCTCTGCAGTGCACAGTGGGAAGCTGCACACCTGGGTCCTCAGGGGCGCCCTGGGCCTGGCGGGGGGGAGGGGCGGGGGCCACCTGCTAGGTCAGCAAGGGGAGTTCCGGGGTCCGGATCTCGCAGGCAGGAAAAAGCAGCAGCGGTGAGCCCTGACCACAGTCAGAGAGCCTTGGGTTCAAGTCTCTGCTTGGCCACTTCCTGGCCTCCCATGCCTGAGGTTCCCCATCTCCTCAATGGACATAGTAAGTCCCAACCTCCCAGGGCCCTTGTGAGAGGTACATGTTAACCCAGGTAAAGTACTTAGTGTGGGAAGAGGCAAACAAGAAATCTGTTAAATAAACAACAGGCTGGCCAGGGAGACCTCTGGGCCCCCACTCCCCGGGGGCGGGCGGAGCCTCTACCCTGCTGGTGGGAGTGGGTGGAGTAGACAACTGAGACAAGGCGGGTCATAATTAGGTTCAAAGGACATGGATGCCTAAGGGTACCCAGATCTTGGGGAGCAGACAGGGACCCTCATATCTGAGAGCGTGAAGAGGAGGTCTGGGAGGCGTGGGCCTGCCCCGTCCCAGGGAGTGCGCACTCCCAGGTCCGGGAGCTGGCACATGAGCATGTCCTGGTCTGGGGAATGGACACCCGGCCCCCGAGGCCCCGCCCCCACCTTGCAGGCGGCCTGGATTTCCTGGCGCACCAGCTCCTTGAGGGGCGGGTGGCCCTCGCAGGGTGGCTGGGTGTACAGCTGCGCCCGGGTGATGCCCTTCCAGCCCGAGTCCTCTGGCCAGCCCAGCCGCAGCACGGGCACTGGCTCCTCCGACAGTCCGGGCCAGTAGGTCAGGCTGCCGGAGTCCCCGCTGGCGACCGTGGCTCCCTCTGCTGTTCCACCGGGCCCCTGTTTGGCTGCTGCCCAGTCCTCGGCCGCCGCTGCCAGGCCCCGGAGCTCATCCGCGCTCAGGAAGGGCCGCAGCCCTTCGCGCTGCACGCAGGCCTCAAAGGCCTCCGCGCCCTCGCTCAGCAGAGCCTCCAGTGCCAGCCGCTGGCCCTCAGAACACACGAAGCCGGGGCTGGTCTCTGTCGGGGGCAGCCCCTCGGCCCCTGGTTCTTCTCTTTCCAGTGCTGCGAGCTGGGAGGCCGCCATCAGGCCAGCCAGGTGGGAGGATCTTGGGGCTGGGTGTCAGAAGGCTGGGCCGTCCCTGGACACTGATCATCTGGGGGTCTCCTGATAGGCAGACCCTGGGCAGGCCTCCCAGGACAGGCCTGCGGAAGTCCAAATGGGTCCCTGCGCTGTCCCTCGCTCACGCTCCTGACGATCAGACTGCCCCAATGACTGACGGACCAATGCTGCTCAGACCAACAGCCAGCCGCCGGCCACCATGACCGGCCGGCCCTCTGACCTTCCTGCCAGCTGTCCCTGGTGATCTGACCTCACAGCTGGCCCTGCACGTGCGTTAGGCTGACCCCCTGGCACCGTCCGCAAACCCTGCGACTCATCAGCTGCCCATCTCTGCTCCAACACACGACAACCTCCAGCCTGCCGGCCCACGATGCACCGACTGACCCTTCAGATTTGGACAGGCTGACCACCCACCTGTCCTGGCCGGAGGTCTGCTGACTGCCTGACCGCCTCCGGGAAACAGGCTGTCTGCCTGTCTGCAACCACCTGAATGTCCCTACCAAAGGGAGAACGGGCAGGCAGCCTGCTGGCCCCCAGCCAACAGCCCGTCTAACTGACCCTCTGCGGCCGTCTCTTTGTCCGGAAGACGGCTCTTGCTTCCGGCCGGCAGTCTCACTGTCTGACTACCCAGTGGAACTCCCAGCTGTGTCCAGTGGACGTTTCTCCCAACTGGCTGGCGAGCTCACCAGCTCTCACCGGCTGACCATCCCAGACACCTCCTCTCTGAGCCTCGGAGAGATGTACTCCAGCTGTCAGCCTTGGCATTGCCCTTCCCCAGCCAGGGAACTGGGTCAGTCTGCGGATGGAGGCCCCTGTTCCTGGGCCTTTGCAGCCGCTCAGGCTGCTAGTGGAGGATGCACTCCATGAGGGGGTTCATTGCCATGGAACCGGTGCATGACCTCCACCACCCTCCTAGGCTCAGGGCCGGACCAGCTGGCCACTGTGCCTGGGACTGGCTAGCCCTACCTGTGCCCCGGGGCTGCCCTCTGATCTATACTGACCCCTGGCTGAGCTGACCCGTCTTTTCAGCCTGAATCCCACTATCTCCGGCTTGCTGCCCGTCCGCTCACTCCTCATGGAATGAGGACGGCTATGTGAGGCTCCTGACCCAAGCTGTGGACCCCCGATCCGTGCGACCCAGCGGCCCCGCCTTCCAATCCCAGCACCCAGGCACTTCCTCCAGGGCACAGCGTCTAGCCCTGCAAAGAGAAGGAAGAGGAATAAAGCCAGGTGCCCTCTCCCCCTCCTGTTCCAGCCCGCTCCCCACCCCCTTCGCCTCCTCTTGCCTTTTCCGGAGGAGTGTGGTCCGGGTCTTCAGACCCACTTTTACTCCAGCGGCGGCTCTCCTGGCAGACTGGCCTCATTCATCAGGCTTCGCCCTGGGATCCTGGGAACCCAGCCCCTTATGTAAACACAAGGGAGGGCCCAGAGGTCTCTAGGGGAGGTCTGGGTGCGGGGCCCAGGGCATGAGGTCCAGACCCAGCACACTCACCGGGCTGCTTTCCCAGGAGGCCAGCGGCCCGCCAGACTCAGGTTTTGTGGGAGGGAGAGTGCCTCACCTGTTCCCACGCACCCCTTCCCCACCACAGCCCCACCTCGCCCACACTTCCCTGTCCAAGCACCACCCAGCATTCTTAGCGCAGGGCAGAGGAGCACGGGTCCTTTAAGAGCACAGGGTGCGGTGGCTAATCCTTCCTGGAAGCAGGTGCGGGGAAACATCTACACCTGGCATCCCAGGAGGTGGGGCTTCCACAACAGTGAGCTGCGAGGGTCCGACAGGTGCAGAGAGGCTCGGCAGAGCCGAGCACGTGGCTAGGCCGCCAGAGGGCGCCTGCAGGCTGACGCAGGCTAAGGCGAGAGGGCGGACTACACCCGGGAACAGCTGGAGGGACTGGTCTCCATGGAGATGGCAGTGGTCCAACTCCCCTAAACAAACGCCTTCTGGTCCACAGGCTGTCCTCCCAACCCCATCCCCCAACAGTAATACACACAGGGCCATCAGCATCCAAAATCTTTTTAATAACAAGGTAGGATCGGGGGTTAGTTTTTGTAGCCACGGCTGGCCCGCCGGCCTCTTGCGCGCTCGAACTTCCTGCCCTTGGATCGGACGTAGGGTCTGCGGGGAAGAGAAAGGAGTTACTTACAGATGAAGCAACGGCCTGACTACGCTGGGGACTCAGCCAGTGAGGCTGGCTCTAACGGAGTGACACAGGAACACCACAACGGGGCCTCTCAACCCAGGCAGGGTCACCAAGTGGGCTGCGGCCGAAGCCTGGCAGTGCAGGAAGCCAAGAGAGCAGGAGTGGCTGGCAAAGCTGGCACCAGGCCTTGGGGGCGCCATCCTCAGAGCCCGAAGCCTCGGGAAGAATGCAGGCCTCCCAGGAGACGCCAACTCAGCCTAAAGCAGAGCCTGCATCTGTAACACTAGCTGCGCAGGGAGCCCCACACCCAAGGGAACACAGCTCTAAGCTGCGTCTTGAAGGAAAGTGGGCGCAATGAGGCGGGGGGATGCTAGGGAGGCCTGAGGCTGGACACGTGTGAGAAACGGAAGCAGCTGGACGTGTGGTAAGACCTAGACCTGCACTGCAGGGTCTGGGGGACGGCCAGGGCTGGGTATACTCACTTGGTGTGGCTGTGAGGGGTTCCTGGGGCCTTGCCAAAATGCCTGTACACCTCGCGGCCCTTGCGAGGACCTGCGGAGAGACAGGAAGGGGGCATCAGGCAGAACCCCCCGCACCCGGGACTCCTGCAAGGAGCCACACTCCAGGACCCCCGCTGATTGGGAGGGTGCAGTGGGGAAGGTCCCTGACTCCCACGCCAGGAAGGGGCAAGGCTGTTGGCAGCCCCCACCCCCCTGCGGGAGACCGAGCATGGCTCACCGGAAAGCAAGACAGTGCCGCAGCCCTTGGGGGAGTCCAGGGCCAGCTGGTCGAAGGTGAGGATCTTGCCCCCGGCCTTGAGGATGCGGCTCCGGGCGCGGCTGCTCACACGAAGTGCACACACCTGGGAACACAGAGGACAGGTTCAGTCAGAGCTCCCTGCACAGACACCTAGAGGCTGCTGGGACTCATGGTTCACTGCTGTGGCCCAACAGAAAAATCCTGGCTGCTGGCGCGGCCTGGTAACTAAAGCCTATTAGAGAGAGCGGCCTGAGCTGGCCATGGGGGTTTTTATCACTTGACCCCTAGAAACTCCTCTAAGACCATGACTTGAAACCACTACATTTAAAGAAACTGAGGCACAAAGAAACTTAGAACTTTGTCCAGAGGTGACAAAGTGGCAGAGAAACCTAGACTGGAACCCAGGGCCACCACCATCAATAACGTGAGCGACAAGCCCCTTCAATCCAAAAGCCACCTGGCAGGTGCGATGCCCGCCTAGCCCCGTGGTGAGACAAGGACGCAGCGCAAGCCTGACGGCACCACAGCAGGCGAGAACGAGCCAGGGCTGCAGGGCCCCCCCCCAGCCTGTGCACTGACTCACCCGCCGCGCTGAGCCCCCCACTCACCTTCAGTTTGGGCACCTCCTGGACACGCACGTCATCAGTTATAGTCCCTACAACCACAGCGGTTTTGCCCTCGCGGCCAGGAAGCTTCATCTTCCGGATCTTTGGGGGAGGACATGCATGTTAGGCCCTGCCTGGCCTTTCCATCCAATCCCACCACGTCAGGCATCCGAGGGCGAGACAGCTGCGCTGTGGCCAGGCCAAGTCCACCCGCGCCGCCACCCCTCTCCAACCAGCACAGGTCTGAGCTCAGGTTCACGCACAGATTTCTCAACAGGCCTCTCCTATAGAGGGCCCACAATAGCTAAGACTTGTGTTATGTGACTTGAAACCGCAGGACCACCTCATGAAGCTCCCCTCATCACCCCACCTCACAATGACAAGGAAAACAAGGCCGAGAAGCCAAGCCAGTTGAACTGAACTCGAACCTGAGGGTCAGAGCTCCAAGCCCGCCCACCCTCCCTAGAGCCCAACTCCAGACGCAACCCAGGAGCTCCCCAGGCGGGCCATGCTCCCAGCGGTCCCTCACCATCCGGGAAAGGGACAGAGGCGGCCGGTTGGTGCGACTCATGAACAACCTCTTCAGCACCACTTGGTTGAAGGTGGAGTTGGTTCGTCTGGCCAGAAATCTGTAGAGCTGGAGAGGAAGGGAAAAGAAGGAACTGAGAACCTAGCCCAGCCCACCCCTCCCAACGTCCAGGAAGGGGCGCACAACAGACTTCTGGCTCTCCCCTACGCCAGCGAGCTCCAGGACAGAGCTAGCTAGCCCCGGTCCACCCTGGTCGGGGGATCAGAAATCCCCGCCCCCCACCTCCAGCTGTACACAACCCAGAAACTAAAAACACTGAACTTTCAGAAGCTCTCAGAGACATAACCCAGCCCTGCAAGCTCCTGGGAGGAGCCCAGACCAGTACAAGAATGGAGGGCCTGGGAGCTGCAGGTCTGGGGTGACCCTGCCCACAGGTCACAGGCCCTGACCTCACCTTGACCAACAGCCTTAGGTAGATGTCCTGGCTCTTGGGCTCCTTGCGCCGAACCTTTCGGTCTTTGTTGTGGCGGATGTCGACTCCCTGCAGGGTGAAGGGGAGACCACAGACCCAACTCAGACCTGACAGGTCACTCACACCATACGCGCTCTCAACCACCTGTCTCCCAGGCAGAGCTGGAGCCTCAGTCTCTACAGAGACAACAGATCCCTGGGAGACGTCTGGGAAGTCACTTACGCCCTCTGGACCTCAGATGACCCCTCCGTAAAAAGGGGCCAATTCTATACACAAAGCCTTCAGTACACAAGGCACGGCACCCTGAAAAAGCTTTAACACTGCAGCAGCACCCACTCAAACCCACCGTTCCCACCACACTCCCTGCCTGTTCCTCTGAGGTCTCCTTTTCAGACTCTTATGAATTGTAAAGAACCACCTGGTAGCTCCTATTTAATCCACACTTAACATTTGCAAGAACCCACAGAGAGCGATTCCCACCATTTATTTCTTCCCAAACTCCAGTCTGTAACACAGAATTATTGCGTCCCCATTAAAGAGATGGAAAAAGTGGAGAATAGGCTGGGAAAGCAGGATTCCAGGGTTGGCAGGGAGCCGTGACTCGCACGAAGGCCTCGCCGGTCCCCAAAACCCGGGCAGCAGACGCTCGACACTCCCCAGGACCCAACTTTTGGGCTTGGGAGTGACAGGTCCGGGTCGCCTGGGTCCGAATCCTGGCCCCGACACTCCCTGGCATTTTGACCCTGGTAATATCACTTAGCTCCCTCGTACCTCAATTTGGGCATCTGTTTAATGGAGAGATACGGGAGGGGCTGGAGGCTGATACGACTGACCCATTCCTGCTCTTCAGGGCCCCTAAACAGCCTCCCACCACGGGAGTCGCCTCCTCTGAACATCCCCAGAACCCCTGCTTCCCTGTGGTGCGCCTCCAGCCCGAGATCACGGCGGATGGCAGCGGATAGTACAGCCACGAACGCCTCAAAGTGCACTCACCATGATGGCGCCTTCTGTTCCACCACGTCCGGAAAGACAGAACGGGGCCGGATGGGCGGGGAAAGCCTTCAGCGAGCGGCGCCTGCGTGACGTATCACTGGCGCGACTCGGCACTCTATCGCAACTTGGGCTTCTCTGTGGTAAATCGGGCGGCTAGATGGGCATTTCCGGAAAAAGGGGCGTGAACAACCAAAGAGGAAAGAGGGCTTCGTTCAGAAGAGAACGGCCTCTCTGGCCCTATCCAGTCCCTGTTCTCGATACCCTTCCGGAAGAAAGGAATCTGGGAGCGAGAGAGATGTCGCGGGGAACTAGGAAGACTCGTCGCGCAGTGACGCTCTGGCCCGAAGCCGACAATCTCTCTGTGGCTTCCGGAGTATTGGGCGGGCTCGAGTATTGGAGGTAAGGAGGCGGAGGAGGCGGGGCAAGCAGGGCTAGATAGATCTCTGGAAAACCTCTGACCCCATTCTCCGGTCATTTCCTTATCTTATTCAGGCTGCCTTATCTCGTGCTGCCCTTTGCAGGCGCGGCCGCAGTTCGGGAAGTCCTCCTTGAGGTCTAACCTGAGGTCTTCTTGCTGTAGCCCAGTATTATAGCGGGCTGTATTTTCACCTTTGAGGGTCCGCTTCTCCCTCTGCCTGCAGAGAGCCATTCCCTGACCCCTTCTCAGCCTCTGCCACCTGGGGCTGCTTTTCTCAGCCAGAGAGATCAAATAGCCAAGCAGGTTCGTTGTGAGGGATGGGCATGGTGCTGGAGCGCAGAGCAGGCACACTGAGGTCTCAGGCTTGGGGGTGGAGTAGAGAGAGGGGATGGGTAAAAAATTTCTGGGAGGGGAGGAGAGACATGGAGGGAGATAGATTCAGACGGGAGAAGGAATGGAGACCCAGAGTAGTAGTGGACAGAGACCGACGGTGGGCAGTGAGGAGACCTAGAAAGAGGGGGAAGATGGCGATCCAAGGAGCAGAGACATAGATTCAAATTCAAATCGTGGCTCTGCTACTTAATAAAACAGTGTGACTTGGGGTAGTCATTTAACCTCTCTGTGCCTTACTTTCCTTATCTACTAAAAAACGATGGCAATAGGCCTGGCATATAGACTGTTTTCCAGCGTTACATACGTTAGTAAAAATGCTTAGGACAATTCTTCGCACTTAGACTAAGTGTTCAATAGAAATTAGGCTCCATTCCTACTTATTGGCCCGCAGTGGGTGAGACAAGATGAAATGGTTGGGGCAGGGGAAAAGTTGAACTCTTTTCTTTTCTGCTTTCTCAGGGAGGCCCTGCCCCGTGGGCATCCAAAACATCAAGCCTGGCCTCCAGTAATCTGCCGTTGATACTCCAACTTCTTCACCTCCCCTCCGCAGAGCCAAAGGCCAGGCCTGACCCGGGAGACCTGACGCCCTGCCCATCCCACTGTCCCATGGACTCTGGCCCAGGACTAGGGTCTTGATAACACAGCAGAGAGCTGGCAGATGAATGGACACCTTGAAGCAGAAGAGCAGCGGGACCAGGTAAGGAGTCCATCCAAAGTCAAGATCACCGTGCCACGGGACAGTTTCCTCCCCCTCCTTGCCCCTGTTCCCCTCATCTCTTTGAGTCCCAGCCTCTTTGGTCGCTGTGTCTGCCCCTCTCCCTGGGCCCCCGCTTGGGTGCTGTGTTTCCCTGTCTCTCCATGTGACTGGATTTCTGTCCCTCTCTCCCTCTCCCTCTGAGTCATTCTTTGGCACGTATTACCTGGTGCTGCTGCTACTCTGGGTCGAACACAAGGTACATTGTTTGGCAATAAATGAACTTCTTCCTCCATTTATCTCTTCCAAGCAAGCTCTGTCCCTATTTCCTTTGGCATGTGTGTTTCTCTCTACAATTCTATCTGTTTCTAGGTCTCCTGATACTATTCTTGCCTTGATTTTTTTTCAGTTTTACCAGGTCTTTGCCTCTCTCTCTCTCTCTCTCTCTGTCAACATCTTTGCTTTGTGTCTCTTGGACTGAGTTCCTCTCAGTCTCTGGGCTTTTCGATATTCTCTTGCCGACTCACCCCTGACCTACAGGTCTCTCAGATACTGCCTGTCCCATCCCTTTCCTTGTGTCTCTGTCTTGCTAGTCATTAGGCAGGTGTGTATGTCATGCTGCCTCCGCTCTGGTTTGGGTCCAAGGTAAATCGTTGGTGACCTTTTAAAAAATTGACATACACTATTATATTAGTTTCAGGTGTACAACGTAACAATTCGGCATTTGTATACATTGCAAGATGATCAGCACGAGTCTAGTTATCGTCTGTCATCCTACAAGGTTAATAGAATATTATTGACTCTCGTCCACATGCTGTACACCATATCCCTATGGCTTATGAATAATCTGTGAATTAATAAGCCTCTCTTCCCTAGTTCTCCTTCAGAAGTGTCTGTCCTTATCTCTCTATCTGTGTACCTCATAATCTGGGTTTTCTTGAGTCTTTACCTTGCCTATTCTTAATTCTACTGTCTTCGTCTATTTGTACCTCTGCTTTTCTCTGAGTCTGTCTCTCTGATTCTCTTTATGTGGAAAAAAGACATTTTCTCCCCAAGCCTCTCATTGCCTCTGACTGCTTCTCTGAGTCTCTTACTAACCCCCTTTGCATATCTCTGGGTCTTTGTTACGTGTGAGGATCGGTCATTCTCTGCATCTAAAGATCTTCCTCTTGCCTCTTCTCTTTTATAAAGCCAATGGATGGGACCAGTCTATATGCCCTCAACAAACATGGCGAAATGGTCCCTGCCTGTAGGGCTGTGACGCCGCCTCTGCTGCGCGTATGCCCTCACCTACAATGGCGGCGGATCTCGGGAGCGTTCCCACTCTCCCGCGGCAGGCCCGTGCGCCAAGCTCGCGGGTCGCCTGGGCCCACCTTCCGCGTGCCCTCATTGGTGCAGCTCACGCCAGCCGCACGGCCATTGGCTGAGCAGATGCACACTCCCCCCACACCCCTAGTCGGGGCGGGTGGTGCTGACTTGAGGGGCCACTTGGAGGAGGATCTGGCGGGTGCGGGGGTCGGGGCAGGGACCGGAATCTGGGTGACCGCGGGACCAAGAGGAACAGAGAGACGCAGGCCCAGGACTGGGGTACCAGGGCTGTGGGATGGAGATGGAGAACCAGAACCGGGGCTGAGGGATCCAGGAAGAATAGAAACCCAGGTCTGAGACTGGCATTTGGAAATCGGCAAAGGGCAGGGGGAGTGGAGGTCTGGGCCCGGGGGAACCGGAGACAAAGACTCCGGCTTATGGATTCGGGAGACCTATGGATAGAGACCCAGGCCCAGGTCTGGGGTACCTGGAGGGGCCGAGAGAATGGAAACCACGCCAGAGACCTGAGGACCTAGGGACAGAGACTCAGACCCAGGACTGGGGAAGATCTAGGGCTCTGTGCCTAAACCTGATTTGAGGTAAGGGGTGGGGAGGGGGGAGCCAGTGCAAATTTAGGGGCGGGGCAGAGGTGACTATAGGGCGAGGCCACAGAAGGGGTTGTAGTGTGGGGCAGCTGGAGGAGGGGGGAAGGTGAGGGACAGGACTGGCAGGTTGCTGGGTGGGTGGAGCAGAGGGGAACAAAGGTGAGTAAGGAGGAGGAGGCAGAAGCAAGGCAGAGGGCAGGGGGAGAGCTTCTGGGGAGGGTCCTCAGGCCCGGCTCCCATCCCTTCCCTGGAGAACAGGCGGCCAGATGCCCAGGTCAGTGCCCAGGGTCCAGCTCTTGAACCCTGTCCCTTGGAGGTGTCTGCATGTGGCTCCTCTAGTCCCTTCATGTCACATCCCTTTCTCAGTTTTCCCTGGTCTCTACATCGTCTATCTCCTGCCTCTATCTTTTCTGTCTTTTTCTCCTGAGTCTTTCTGACCCTCTAAGGGCCCCCGGGAGCCTCTACAACACTCACTATTCCTAACTATCCTTCATCACCCTACGTTTCATGTCATTGAAGCTGTTGGTCTCCTCACAGTGTTTCTCTGGCTCTCAGACCTTACCCCTCTTGTTCTTTGTCCAAGTGTCTCACCCTTAGTACTTTCTCCATCTGGAGATGACGATGTTTGTGTTGGGTTTTACTCTGCCTTTGCATATCTGTTTCTTCCTCTGTCTCCACCACCGTCCTGATTTCCGCCCTCTACCTTACTTTTCCTAAAGCCCTTATCACCCAATGCACTATACTTCACTTCTTTATCTTGGTTTTTGTTTGTTTACTGATAAAAACTCCTCGAAGGCAGGGATTTGTGTCCATTTTGCTCCCGGCTGTGTTTGCTAGGCCTGGCATTCTGATGGGCACTTGGAGGGTTCTGAATAATCATTTAGAAAATAAATGAGTGAGTGAATGTTTGCATGCCTCCAGGACTCTGGCCTTCCTATCCAGCTGATCTCTTCCCTGCACCCTCAGTGCCTCCCCACATTTGTCTGGGCCCGTCTGTCCCTGTGCGCCTGTGACTGCCCCCCGTTGTCTCCCCCTTTCCGCAGGCCGTGCCCCTGCTTCCGTCCACCTGACATGGGGGTCCTCGATTCTGATTCGTGCCCTTCCTTCCCACAGGGGCCAGACCAGTAGCTGACCTGGAGCTGGGGCCCCAGGCCCAGGACTGCCCTGGACAGGGCCGAGGCCATGGCCCCGCCGCCACCGGCCGCCAGCACGCCACTCCTGCATGGCGAGTTTGGCTCCCACCCAGCCCGAGGCCCACGCTTCGCCCTCACTCTCACACCGCAGGCCCTGCACATACAGCGGCTGCGACCGAAGCCTGAAGCCCGGCCCCGGGGCGGCCTGGTCCTGCTGGCTGAGGTCTCAGGCTGTTGTACCCTGCGGAGCCGCAGCCCCTCTGACTCGGCGGCCTACTTCTGTATCTACACCTACCCAAGGGGCCGGCGCGGGGGCCGGCGCAGAGCCACACGCACCTTCCGGGCTGACGGGGCGGACACCTACGAGGAGAACCGGGCCGAGGCCCAGCGCTGGGCCACTGCCCTCACGTGTCTGCTCCGTGGGCTGCCGCTGCCTGGGGACGGGGGTGAGGTCCTCGGCCGCCTGGGTGTCTCTGTGAACCCCCCTCTGGGGTCATCCCTCTCGACTTTTCTGTTTGTCTGAGCGATGTCTCCCTGGGTCCACACTGAAAGAGCGATACCGGACAGGGACAGGCTACAGAAGGAACAAAATCACAGGCCGAGGAAAAGTATTTGTGTCTGCTGCTCTCTTGCTAGATTTTTGTCTCTGCCCTCTCCCCCTGTTCCTGGGTCCTGACTGCAGATGAGTCAGAGGCTCCCGGGCGGGGGAGAGCAGCCGACGTGAGACTTGATCAGTCATCACCCAGTTCTCGGAGGTGGCATCTAAAACTAGCCTGCGGGGGTCTGGAGGAGGCTTTCAGGCAGGCGTCCACACCCAGGGTCTTTAATTGGCACAGGAAGGCAAAGACTCCAGGGTCCTGCTGGGTGCCTGGGGGTGGCCCTAAGAGATGGTGACAGTAACTGAGCCTCACGGAGCACAGCAACCTGATCTGGGATGTAGGTGTTCTCCGGAACGTGGGAACTACACATACTTCTTCCCACACAGTGGTCCAAAGGGCACTAGGATTAGACACCTAAGCCCTGCCTTTGTCTCAGAAGGGAGTGGCCTGGGCAGGTGTAGCCTGGGGAAGAAAAAACTTCCTTGAGGCTCCGGTGTCAGCCTCCACTGGTTTTGTTGGGGGCTGTTTGCAGTTACTGTTTCCCAGGTGAGGGGCCTGAGCCTGGCCTCTGTGGACCTCGTCCCCTCTCTCTCTGCAGAAATCACCTCCCATCTTCTGCCACGGCCACCCCGATTGCTTCTGTTGGTCAACCCCTTTGGCGGGCGAGGCCTGGCTTGGCAGTGGTGTAAGAACCACGTGCTGCCCATGATCTCCGAAGCTGGGCTGTCCTTCAACCTCATCCAGACAGGTCAGGGTGGTGTCAGGGTGGAAGCCGAGGGCTTGGGGCTGGATTCCTGAGTCCCGGGGAGCAGGGGTGGGGTGGGGGCGCAACAGCCTGCCTCACCTCCTGGTTTCCCACATTAGAACGACACAACCATGCTCGGGAGCTGGTCCAGGGACTGCGCCTGAGTGAGTGGGACGGCATTGTCACAGTCTCCGGAGATGGGCTGCTGTATGAGGTACGGCAGGAGCCCCCCGCCCCGAGTCCTGAGCGCCGGGAGGACCGTGGAGGCAGGGCAAGCACCCAGGTGTCTGTGTCCTGCCCTCCAGGTGCTGAACGGACTCCTGGATCGCCCCGACTGGGAAGACGCTGTGAAGACGCCCGTGGGCATCCTCCCCTGTGGCTCAGGCAACGCACTGGCCGGAGCCGTGAACCAGCACGGGGGGTAGGTGGGCTCTTCCTGCCCCGGGTGAGCCTGAGGACAGCCTGAAGGGGGGGGTGATGGGGACTTGGCACATCTGCCACCCCTTCTGCCAGTCCACTGTCAGGTTACATCAGCCTGGCCTTTTTGCTGGTCTTGTTCCCGGCTATAGCCCTAGTGCCTAGAACTGCCTGGCACACAGGTGACACTTAGTGAATGCCTGTGGAATGCAAGGATCGACAGGAAACCTGGTCCAGTAAGACGAGTCCATCTGGAGGCGGCTGAATGGCTGTGGGGGGGCCCAGGGACATGGCCTGCCTGTCCCCTTGCTGTCTGTCTCCTCCCTGCCCTACACTCTGTTTCTCACCCAGCCGTTTCCTCTTTCACTTTGTCGATCCGTCTCTGGCTCGGAAGGTTTGAACCGGCCCTGGGCGTTGACCTGCTGCTCAATTGCTCACTGCTGCTCTGCCGGGGCGGCTGCCGCCCGCTGGACCTGCTGTCTGTGACCCTGGCCTCGGGCTCCCGCTGCTTCTCCTTCCTGTCTGTGGCCTGGGGCTTCGTGTCAGACGTGGACATCCACAGCGAGCGCTTCAGGGCCTTGGGCAGCGCCCGCTTCACACTGGGCACAGTGCTGGGCCTCGCCACACTGCACACCTACCGTGGACGCCTCTCCTACCTCCCTGCCACCACAGAGCCTGCCTCGCCCGCCCCTGCCCACGGCCTGCCCCGTGCCAAGTCAGAGCTGACCCTGGCCCCTGGCCCAGCTCCACCCGCGGCCCACTCACCCCTTCATCGCTCCGTGTCCGACCTGCCCCTGCCCCTGCCGCAGCCCGCCCTGACCTCCCCAGGCTCCCCTGAACCACTGCCCGTCCTGTCCCTCAACGGTGGGGGCCCAGAGCTGGCAGGGGACTGGGCTGGGGCTGGAGATGCTCCGCTGTCTCCAGACCCCCTGCTGCCCTCTCCCCCTGGCTCCCCCAAGTCATCTCTACTTTCACCCATCACCGAGGGGGCCCCAGAAATGCCAGCATCCTCGGGGCTCCTGCCTTCCATCCCTGACGGCGACCCGGTAGCCATCACTACGGGGGGTCCACCGGACCACCTGCTCCCTCCTCTGGGTGCTCCGCTACCCCCAGGCTGGGTGACACTGGAGGGGGACTTTGTGCTCATGTTGGCTATCTCACCCAGCCATTTGGGGGCTGACCTGGTGGCAGCTCCCCACGCGCGCTTTGACGATGGCCTGGTGCACCTGTGCTGGGTGCGGGGCGGCATCTCCCGGGCTGCACTGCTGCGCCTTTTCCTGGCCATGGAGCAGGGAAGCCACTTCAGCCTGGGCTGCCCGCACCTGGGCTACGCCACGGCTCACGCCTTTCGCCTTGAGCCACTTACACCTCGCGGAGTGCTTACTGTGGATGGGGAGCGGGTGGAGTACGGCCCCCTGCAGGCGCAGGTGCATCCAGGCCTTGGTACGCTGCTCACGGGGCCTCCTGGCCACCCTGGGCAGGACCCTTGAACCACACAAAACTTGGGAGACCGCTACCAGCGGGGCCAACATTCCAAGGGGGCGGGGCCTGGGGGGCCACAGTTCCAGCAGGCCCCACGTGCAGCGTCTCAGAACTGTCCTCACCCAGGGGACCAGAGGTGATGCTGGGGGGTGGGGGCTATCAGGGTCACAGGAAATTGGGCTCGTCTGGGAGGATAGTGCCTGACTAGTGAGGGCGGAGCTCATTCCAGACCCTTGCTTCCAGCTCCTTAAAAGACCAGGTCGGCTGAGGGCAGAGCTTGTCCTAATGCGCAGTCCAATGACGGGACCTGGGATGCTCGGGCTGGCCGTTCAGGGTCTCTCCCTGTCCACTCCGGTGCCTCCAGATAACTGGCCAATCAGCCCTGGAGGGGCAGGTTCCCCCGGGCCGAAGCTTGCATTTGCACTAAAGTTCCTCCCTCCCCCACGGGTTCGGGTGGAGTTCGTGTCCCGTGTTCCGTGTCCTGTGCGTTTCCCCAAACCCAATCTTCAAAGCAATTGAAAAGGTCTATGCAATAAAGGCAGTTGCTTCATTCCTTGTAGACCCTGGCCCCTTCATCCGGTGGCTTGTGGGCGTGCCCAAAGCCCAGGCTTACCCCCGGACTGTGGCCAGTGTGACCCTGCTGGCCCTGACCTGGGGCCAGGGAGCTGCCTCCTCCCCCACGACAGCTGGCTCTAGGATTATCAAGATTTATTCAGGATCGTGTTAAACGGAGGCGGTGGGAGGACCGGGTCCCCGACGTGCCAGGGGCACACACAGAGGACTCTCCCCGCCTCCGCGAGGGAGGGGGGAGGCTCGCTTTTTCTTAAAAATATAAATGTATTTATCTGCATCATCACATCCCTGGGGCACCCAGCTGGCCGGCCCGTGGGCCACAGGGTGGGGAGGGAAGAAGGTGTCTGGGCGCAAGTCTGAGCGAGGCAGAGGTGAGCTCTGCCAGGGTGGGGTCGGGGGCAGCCTCACAGGGCTCCGTGCTGGGCCTGGTAGCGGGACAGCACGGCACGGTAGTGGGATAGCTCCTGGCGCACGGCCACCACCTCCTGCCGCAGCAGGGCGTTCTCCTTCTCCAGGAAGGCCGCCCGCACTGATATCTGGTTCTCCTTAAGCCGCCTGGCATCGCGGGACCGCTTGGCTGCCTCGTTATTCTTGTACCGCCGACTCCAGTACTTTTCATCCTGGGGGTACAGAGGTAGGAAAGCAATGAGGTTCAGAGGATCCCTGGACACAGTGAAAGAAAGGAGGAGCAACTTCTCTTGTTCCTTCAAGGACCACAGGGAATCCAGGAGTTTCTAGGACTGCTTCTTGCCCATCAGTGGTTTCCTCTGGGATGGGTACCCAAAAGTCTGCCCTTCTAGGGTCCTGGTTGCTAAGGAGGCTAAGGAGAGCAGGCCCCTAGCAACAACTAACACATGAGAGAGCCTCCCACCCCAAACAACTGGGCTTCAAGTCTTCAGTGTGCAAAGCAGACTCCACCCTCCTCACCTGACAAAGGTCCTGTAGTTAGTTCTTGGATGCTAAGGATGCTTGTTCCCTAGCAACAGGGCCTTCAGGGTGTAAGAGCTCCCAGTGAGAAGCACTGCCCTACACATCACCTTTCCAGATCCTGGTTGCTAAGGAAAGTCTAACCTCCCCACTGATGGGACTTGGTGTCCCATAAAATCTTCCCAGAGCTGGTCTCTTCAGACCTGGTTGCCAAGGCAACCTCATCCCTCCTCAGCAAACAAAGGTAAGGTCTGCACTGGCTGAGTAGCTCAGTTGGTTAGAGCATTGTCCTGATACTCTGAGGTTGCGGGTTTAATCCCTGGTCAAGGCAGATACAAGAATCAACCAATGAATGCATCAATAAGTGGAAGAACAAATTGATGTTTATGTCTCACCTTCTCTATCTCTAAAATCAATAAATAAAAGTTAAAAAAAAAAGATCTAAGTGGTCTGCAGCTGCTCTCTGACCTATTAACCTTGAACAGAGTCCAGGGAGCTGCCCCCTGCCAAACAGGTCCTGGTTACTTGAAGAGCTGTCCTTTAGCTAAAGGGCCACATTGAGACCTCCCCACATAATTATGTCCAGGTTCTCTAGTCCTGGAACTTGGCTGCAGAAGACCTTGCCAGCCCTTAGTACAAAGGAGCACCCAGAGCTCTGAAAGATGCCTCTTGAACCCCACTTAATTAAAGCCTAGTTCCTGCCCTGGCTGGTGTGGCTCTGGATTGAGTGCCGGCCGGCCTGTGAACCAAAGGATTGCTGGTTCGATTCCAGTCAGGGCACATCCCTGGGTTGCGGGCCAGGTCCCTGGTGGGAGGAGCGTGAGAGGCAACCACACATTGCTGTTTCTGTCCCACTCTCTCTCCTTCCCTTACCATCTCTCTAAAAAAAAAAAAAAAAAAAAAAAAAGTCTAGTTCCTACCTGCTAGGGAAAATCCAGTCCCTAGCAACAGGGCCCTGTAGCAGGAGGAACCACTGGTGTAGCTTTGGCTTGTAGGCTGGTCCTAGCTGCTTTGAGTAGTTGTGTCTTTTTTATTTTTTTAAAGATTTTATTTATTTATTTTTAGAGAGGAAGAGGGAGGGGGAGAGGGAAACATCCATGTGTGGCTGCCTCTCAAGCGCCCCCTGCTGGTTCCCAGCTCAGACCCGCAACCCAGGCCTGTGCCCTGACTGGGAATCACCCCCCACAACCCTTTCATTTGCAGGTCGGTGCTCAATCCACTGAGCCGCGCCAGGCAGGGCATGAGTAGCTGTGTCTTAATGAAGGCATGGCAAAGAGATATCTAAGAGACGCCCAGATATCTCTTGTTAGGAGGGACCCCAGAATTGGAAAAGTCGGAATGCTAGAAAGATGCAGTCACTGCCCAAAGAACCCACATGAGAATGTGGCTCTGGCTGCCCGTGGGAACCTGAGGCCCCCAGCCAGCGAGGCAGTCCAGACCCAGGAAACAAGGCCTAGAGGGCTGGCAAGGTCTGTGTCCTAGGCGGAGGCAAGCCCCAGCCTGGCTGGCCATTACGAAGAGACAGATTGATACCCCATTGCTAAGAAATGCTGTCCATAGCAACTGAGCCGGGCAGAGCCTGAAGCCTGCCCCACCCACTCAGCAGTTTGGGTCCAGCTGGCGGGAGAAGCGCCAAGTTTGTATAACTGGGTTCAGCAGGGTTGGCTAAGTCTGTGTCCCGCAATGATACCATCTTCATCAATTTCAAGCCCAAAGCTTTGCATCTTTGTGCCCCATGGCCAAGGACTACTGATCCTTGGCTGTAGAAGAGACTGAGAGCTAATTCTAGTAAGAACCCAGGCCTGGCTGTGAGAAACCCGGGCTGTGGAGGCTGCGCTGGCCAAGCCTGTATCCTACATCTGGCAGCGCTCACCTTCTGCTCCTCCGGCACCTGGATTTTCCGAGCCTTCTTCATGATGGGCTGGGGCTTAAGTTCCTCCTCTGAGAATCGGTGTCTCCGAGGGTCAAAGGTCTCATGGCCCGGAATGCTTGACAGGGCTAAATCAGCAGGGTCGGGTTCAAAGGTCATCAGCACCTCCACGGTATCAGGGTCCACAGGGCTGGGTGTGTCCCGAGAGGTCAGGCCTTGGGGAAATAGAATGTGTCACCTGATTGTGTATTTTGCAGAGGAGGTTCTATCCCCAGATGCTACACCCTACTCAGGTGTCTCGTCCACTCAGCTATCATGCACCAGAATGAAAGCCGATGTAAAGCTTTGCCAGAGATCAACCTCCCTTATATAAATTACGGCGGTTTCCTAAGCCACAAAGATGCTTAAAGGTCATGGAACCAACTCCACTTCTACAAACAGGGAAACTGGGGCCCAATCATTACCCGACTTGCCCTAAATTACACTTGAGTCTGGGCTATTGCTTCTAAATCCTCAGGCCTTCAGACACACAGTGTTAGCTTCTTCGCCATAGACTAGCATGAATCCTTTTTACTGGATCTCTGATCAACACCTAGATCCTAGAATGTTCAGGGAAAAGGGCTCCAATGCACGAAGAGACCTCAAGAGACTCCTCGTAACTATTAGCTCTAGTTACGGAAGAGAAGAGGAGAGGAGCCGGAGGCCTGCGCCTTTAAGAGCAGGCAAGCGGAGGTCAGCTGAGGACACCGGTTCAGGGCCGAGTCACGTGCCGGCGCCTGCTCTCCCGCCCCCACCGCCACCCCCACCCCCGCTGCCTAGGGCTGCCTCACGTTCCCCAGGCCCGCCCCCTCCCGCATGACTGCGCGTGCGCGAAGCACGGCGGAGGTTAGGGGAGGACTCACGTGGCGCGGGAGCATGCGGCCGGGAAGGGGAGGGCCCTCTTTCTGCCTGGAGGAGGTCGGACCAGTGGCAGGTGTGTCCCGGAACCCCCAACCTGCTGCCTGACCCTGAACACCGCAAGGTGCCAGAGGGAGTACCCCTTTCCTCTTGCTCCTTGGGTTTCTCAGGTCCAACCTCTCAACCTCCAAGGATCCAGTCCCCCCTGCTGTCTGGGGAGCACAGAGGAACCGGCCCCCTCCATCTTCCCCAGGACCCTAATGCCTTCCCCAGGGCCCTAATGTGTACCACTGGGGTACACATGATCCTGGGATCCCAGGCCCTTTCTCTCCAAGGAGTATAGGAAGCTTGACCCTCGCCCCAACGTAAGACCTAGAACGAAGATCCTCGGCCTTCTCCTCTCGGCTGGACTGCAAGACCCGGGGTCCTAGCTCTTCTCCAATGAGGGACCCAGAAACCGGGCTGACAGTTCATTATGTGTGGGGAAACAAGTCTGTGCCCAGCCCTCGCCTTCTCCCCAGTGGAGGGACTAGGTGTTCGGTCCTATCCCAGTTCCACCCATTCTGGGCTCAGAATATGGGGGCACAGTCCACTTCCAACTAAATAACTGCGATGTTCTGCGCGCTCAGTCCCGACTCCCAAGAGTCCCCACGTCCTACAGGAAAGTTCACACTACCGCCCCACGAGGAAGACTTCCTGGAATTTGGGGACCCAATTCTCTCCTTTCCTACTGATTCTGGAGACCCAGTCTTTGATCTCCTCTCGACCTTTCCCAACCAGGGAGCCCAGATTTTGGGCGCACAGCCCGAGTCCGAACGGCTGACCCGGGTGTTTCACAGCCCCGCCCCTGTAGACTAAGCCCGCCCACCCATGGCCATGCCCCCCGCCGCTGCACCTGCGCGGTGGCCGCCTGCCACCCCGAGGGCAGCCCGGGCGGGGGCGTGTCCCGGCGAGGAGCGAGGGGAAGCTGAGCAGCAGGAGCCGGGCCCCGGGGAGGGTGCGGGCGTGCGCATGGGCGAAGGTGCCGGTGATGGGCCACCGGGGGGCGGTGGACTGGGAGGGAGCCCATGCTCCAGCAGGAAGGCGTCCAGGTCCACGTACTCCACGTCGCCGAATGGCAGCGTCCGTTCCCACAGCAGCGGCGCCAACAGACTAGGGCCAGGTGCAGCCGCCGGGCGCCCCCGGGGGGACCCGCCGCCCACCACCGACCCAGCTGGGGCATCCGCCGGGCCCGCCGCCGGGCCCGCCGACTCCAGGCCCGGCCCGGGAACTGTGGCTGCAGGCAGAGCCGCCCTGCGCTCCTTTTCCTTCAGGAGACCTGGGGGCCAGGAAGACCGGGCAGGGTAGGAAGGGAGGGGTTAGATAGAGATGAGAGAAGAGACCCCGTGTCAGAGAGACAAGAGGAAAGGGAAGATAGAGACCCACACGATGGAGATCCAGAGAAAGAGGGGACAGACGGGGGTGGAGGGAGACCGGAGAGGGAGGGCAAGGACCCAGGGAGAGGAGGGACAGAGACTCAGAGAGAGACCCATAGAGAAAGGTCAGAGACGGGGGCGACAGAGACACCAAGAGGGGGACAGAGACCAAGAGAGGGATAGAAACTCATTAAGAGGGGAGATCAGAGATGCAAAGAGAGATGGGGACAGAGACCGCAGGGACAGACGCAGAAGAGGGGAAGGAAGTTCAGACAGAGGTAGGTGGAGGGTTGGGCAAATGAGAGGGAAAAAAAAATGACAGCTTTGTGATTCCTCTGTAACCTACCCCCCACCCCCGTGCGCAGGTACCCCCTTCTCCCCGCCCCCACACTCTGTAAGGGACAGGAAGGGGCTCTATTCCTGGGACACATTCCTCATCCCTAGACTCCATGTGACCCCAGGAGGCCCCGCCCAAGCCCGTGTCACTACCGTGTGAGCATCCGACACACCCCCTCCCTCCTCCCTGGACCCCAGGGGTCCAGACTCTCGGAACCAAAAGGAAGAGGGGGTTGGGGCTTAGACTATTGGGTCCTCAGGGAGAAGGACTCCTGGGTCCTCGGGGTGGATGGGCTTGAGAGCCGGTACTTTTGGGTCGTGGATGCTGAGAGATCTGGGGGGTCTAAACATCTTAGTAAATAGGTAAAGGTTGGGAAGATGGACTATCGGCACCGTAGGGGATAGCTGTGAACCCCCCCTCCCCCAGCACCTGAGTCCCTAAGGGAGTAGGGTGTTTGAGTTGGGCGAGGTGGGGTGTAGAACTCACAGCTGGCTGGTTCTTTGGGCTTGCTGGTCCCCTGCAGAAGGCTCCGCAGCCCAAGCAGCGCTCCCCCGCCAGGGGGGGCCCCGGCCGGGCTGCCCAGCAGCAGGGGGGCCGGGGTTCTGTCGCTCACGGGCCGCGCCATCGCTGGGCACCTGCCCGCAGGCTCACGGGCTCATGGAGAGGCGATGAGCTGGCCTGCCACTCAAAGGTAAACTCCTGTGGTTCGGGCAAGTGTCTGCCCAGGGGCAGGCGAGCGTAGCTTGCAAGATTCCAGTATCCAGAACAGTGCAAATCCTAGGAGCAACGGGGATTTGCAGTCCTCGCTGCAGAAACGTGCAACTCTGGAGGGTCCCAGGAGACCATGCAGTCTGGGTGAGAGAGTGATCAAATCAGGCGGCCAGCTCCTTGCAACAGACGGTTTAAGGGGACTCAAGGCGCTTCTTCTATAAGGTGGTCGAGCCTGGCTCTTGCAAAACCTGCAGCTCTCTCAACGGAAGACGCTTCGCAATCTGCACCAAGAGGTGTGCGCGGAGGGGCGAGGGAGGGGACAGGAGGAGGCGGCCGCCTTGAGGCGTGGCCAAAGCAAACTTCTTTCGCGGAAAAAAAAAAAAAGCCAAACCAAAACACCCGACGCCACAGCTAGCAACCCTCCTCTCGGACTCTACCTACACTGCCCCGCCCTCCTCTGGTGCCTGGCACCCTAGCCGCGTGCCTCCCTCGGGCTGAAAATGCGGGCCAATCGCGCTCCTACCCCTCGAGGTGCACAGCCAATGGGACCCCTGGGTCCGCCGAGGCCCGGGATGCAGGAGGGGCCCAGGGCGTGAAGTTGTCCGGCCTTTTGATGGAAGGCGGGACACTGACCTACATTTGGCCAATGAATAACGACGCTGGGGGCGGGATCGTGACCCAGTTCAAGCCAATGAGGCAAGCGGTAGGAGGAAGCACATGGCTCTGCGCGTGCTGTCTGACCCGGAGAATGGGTAAGGGGTGGGGGGGGGGGGAAGAGGCGTCGCTTAAAGGAGCCGCATATCCAAACGACTGTTTTGGGAAACAGGAAGCCAAAACTCGAATAGTGGGGTTTAAGAAGACGGAGATTGGTTTCTAGAAGAAAGCTGCTATTCTCTAATACCCCGCCGCGCCTGGAATCAGACCACTGAGAAACAGGAATTATTCTGTCCCTTTAATAGCTTTGTTTTGGGGGTGACTCCCCTTCCCTCTTGGGTAGAGTTGGAAAGAACAGGCGCAATCCTCGATAGGGAGTCTCAGCGACCATGGGGAACGCCATCCACTGTAAGACAGACGACACCGATTGGGGAGGTTAGTTTAGGGCACGGTAGAATGGACTGCGCAGGGGGCGTGCAGTGGGCAGGGGCTGGGCGGCGTAGGGCTGTATCCCCGGGAGGCTGAGAAGGGGGAACCGGAATATACCAGGTTGGGAAGCTGGGAGAAATGTTCCGGCAGTGGGCTGAGCCGTAGAGAGGCAGCAGGAGGGTGGAACAGGGACGTTCAGTTTCAGCATCAGGCTGAACTAGGTGGAGGAATTCTTCAGGGGAGGGGGGGATCTGGCCTGTACCATGTTCGGATGTCAGAGAGGTGGCCCTTTAGATCACAGGGCTGAACAGAGGGGAGGAATTACGAAAGGAAGGGGATTTGAACCACGTTAATTTCCATTAAAGGGGGACCATCAGATTATGAAACAGCATAGGGTTATACCTATGGAAACAGGAAATGGATCCGGATTCGGAAAGCCATACTAATAGGAACCACGGACCAATAGTTAATCGTATCACAAAGAAGCCAGGAGTCTCGGGTTATATACCAAGTTGCAAGCAGTGAAGAGGAAAGACAAATCATGGACCAGCAATGGTCTGTGGCCGGGAAGTGGACTTGCAGCCCGTTGACGTATAGGGAGGAGGGAGAGAGAGCGAGTGAGAACTCAGGACGCTGGACCATGCAGAAGCAGCAAAGGAGGGTGGAAGGACTGTTATCCTACTGACACGCCATCGGGAGACACAGAGGCGGGTTGGACCAAGACGTAGGGGGGAGGGTGCCGACTGGACCATACCATGCAGGCGGTAGTTGGGGCCTCGGCAGCGCCTCTCGGGGTGCCGGGGGTCCCTGTTGCCCCTCAGGGCCCTATGGGCCAAGGGCTGCAGGGGCCGGCCGTTACCGCTGAGGCTCTGGAAGATCTGAGATGGAGGATTCTGGCTCAGCAGTCTCAGGGAATGCATCTGCCACGGGAAGGCGGGGTGGGAAACTGGGAGTGAATAATGAATGTTCTGGTGACGTCATACACGAAGTCCCGCCCCTGGGAGTGGATCCGCTGTGCTTTGCTCAGCTCCACCCCAGCCCCAAGGGTCATCTGACCCTCTGACCCCCTCCAGCTCCCAGTCACCGTGGGGAAGGAGGGTAGGTGAGGCAAGGGGTGGGGGTGGGGATTGGCGGAGGGTCACCTGGAGGGAGGTGATATTGAGGACCCGGTCAATGAGGATCCAGGTGACAGTCTCAGAGCAGGGTGGGGTGCTGAGAGAGCCCTGATAGGTGATGAAGCCGAAGGATTCAGGGAATAGGAGCTCCAGGCTCAGGTCTTGAAGAAAGTAGGCGTCATCTGCAGGCATATTTCGCCAGAGTGAAGAGGAGTGCCCGGCTTGAGCTGCGCTCAGCTGCACACACCCCCGCCAACGCACCGGGACTTACTCTTGTAGGAGATGCGGGTGATGGTGTCACGGTTAAGGAGACGGCTGAGGAATGGGTTTGAGCTGCCAGCCACCTGTGTGGGGGTGTGTGAGGTGAGGAGGCAGGAACGCAGAAGTTCAAGCCCTCCATCCCTTCCTCCCCCAGTACCCAGGAGTCTGGCCTCGACCCCGGCTCCCAGGTGCCCAGTCCCTCCCTCCCTCCGAATCCTGCCTGCACTCACATTGACAAAGAGGCTGAGAATGGCCAGGCCGTTGGGGCCCCGGGAGGCTGCACTGAGGTTCCCATAGAGTTCTTGGTTGAAGTGGATGAGCTGCACCTGGGAGGGGAACACGGAGACTGGGGTTCCCCAACAAAAGGGGAGGAGACAACGGGTGCACCTCTGAGCTTTTGCGGGTCCCAAGTCAGGTTAAGGATTAGTGCTGGGGGCGCAGTTCTATGGGGAGGATGTGGTGAGGCATTAAGAAGAGGGTGGGGGGGATTTGGTTGACTCAGGGCAAGGTTCAAAGATCAGAGGTCCGTGGCCAGCACCTCAGCAGAGAACCCCTGGTGGTTGATCTGGTGTTCAGAGCCGGCTCCATCTCGTGCTCCAAATAGCAGCCGCAATTCACTGAGTCGGTGGCTATAAAGGAGAGGACCCCCAGACACATTGACCACAGGCCGGGGTGCAGGCAGGAAAGACACGTGGCGACCGGTGTTGTACAGGGTTCCCCGGAGCTGTAGGAAAGGTAGAAGACGACATGGGGACACAGAGAAGATCTCTTTCCTCCCATTTCCACTCCTACATTTCCTGCTCCCAACAATCATCTCATCATTCAGCATAGTCGGAGCACCACCGACTTCCCAGGCTTTATGCTGGTCCATGGTAGGTGCTCAATGTTGGTGAATTTATTATACTTAATGAAATATTTATTGAGTTGCTACTCTCTGCCATGGATACCAGGAAGAGAACAATGAACACGTAGACAAAAATCCTGAGCCTCACAGAGCGTATGTTCTAACTGGGGACAGACAGACAATAAATACTGAGTCATATGAATAACTGCTTAATTAATTAGATTCTGTGCTCATGCGGGGAAGAAGTGGGGGCTCTGAGACAGCGTAATGGGAAATCTGGTCTAGACTGGAGTGGTGGGGGAAGTCAGGGAAGGCTTCCATGAGGAGGTGACGCTGAATGCAGATCTGAAAGAGCAGAGGGAAAGGCATTTCAGGAAGAGGGAACAGCAAGCGCAAGTTCAGTGGCAGTGAAGAGGCCAGGGGGACCAGAGGCGATAAGCAAAGGAGAGAATGGGGATGGGAGCCAGATGGGCAATTATGGGAAATTTTATATTTTTATTTAAGTAACTGAATAGGCATAACATACTTGGCACAGTGCCAGGCAAGTGATTGCTGTTGTTACTTATTCTGATAGAAGGGTTTTGGGCAGGAGAGGTCTGATCTGGTTTGTGTTTTTAAACATCTCCCTAGCTGTGGGGTGGAGAATGGATTGCAGGAGGCAGAGAGGCAGGCCAGCGAGGAAGCCATGGCACCAGTCCAGGGGCAAGATGATGGTGGGGGCAGTGGAGGCGAGGAGAAGTGAAAGGGTTTGAATGATATTTAGCAGGGAGGCTAGAAAGCACACGTCGGACAGGGGAATGAGGGAGAGAGCAAAATGGGAAATGGCTCTGAGGCTTTTAGCAGGGGCAGCTGAATGGAGGATGGGCTTGGCTCATATAAAAAATGGTATTGCAAAGTGAGCAAGAGTGTGGATGCTGGGACAACGCTGCCTGGGTTTGAATCTGAGCACCGGCACTCTCTAGCTGTGTGGCTTCGGGCAAATAACCTAACCTCTCTGTGCCTCAGTTTCTGCATTCATAAAATAAGGATAAGGTTAGCACCTATTTATTTCATGTGGTTGCTGTGAGGATTAGAGGGTTTGACAAGCTTTTAAGACGGTGCCTGGCACAGGAAACATTCTATTTTATCATTGCTTCTACGGAGGTGGGGAGACTAGGGAGCCATGTGCAGGGAGGGCGGAACAGGCGACCGACTTTAGAGTGGGAAGAGCCTCCTCTCCTCCCAGCTTGCACCACTTCGCCCCCACCGCAGAGGGGCCTCCTGCCTCAGTGCCCACCCAGATGGGTTTGGGGACCCCTCCCTCCGGCCTCTTACCTTCTCTCCCCCAGTGCTGAGCCTCAGTGGGGGCAAGAAGGGGTCATACAGCACCCTCTTCAGCTCCACATCCACGGGGCTCTGCCGCTTCCCCACGGCACACAGACTCCAGGCTGCGTTCACCAGGCCCCAGAAGGGAGGCCCTGGAGGCAAGGGCAGGCCAGGGAGGAAAGGGAGTCAGAAACAGGGGCTGGATCCCAATGTTGGCATCTGCTGAGAAAGGCTGGTGGTTTGGACCCCTGGATCCCAGGAGACGAGCAGCTGGGAACCTGGACTCCTGAATCTGAGGGAGAAGAGGGCTGGGACCTAGGATCCTGGATCCAAGAAGAATCTTGGAACAGTTTTTAAGACCCCCCTCACACCTCCAAGCCTCTCAATGATCAACCTATCTTAAATGAAGTCATGGGGGGGAGGAACTACAACTCCCAGCAGGCCCTTGGGCTGCCAGCCTACTCATCCACTGCTGGCTTGCTGCAGAGCCCATGGGAGTTGTAGTTCTTTCAGGCTCCCCTGCAGCACAGCTGGATAATGAATGTACTGGGGAGAGGACTTGCAAGTGAGGGCTGCACAAGGCAGGAGAGGGGGCCACTGACCCTTTGGTTCCCAGCAGGAGCTAGGACCTGCCTGCCTCTTCCCCTGCAAGTTCACACACACATACACTCTTCCACCCCCACACTCTCCTTCCACTCACTCCCACTCACTAGTTGAAATGCGCATGTATAATGACCCTTGGTGAGCCCCAGGGGTTCAGAGGCTGGGCTGGACTCCAGAGGGAGGAAGGGAGGGGCTGGGACTCCTGGGAGGAGAGGGTTCCTGGGTGCCAGGAAGGAGGTGCCCGCGGCCTGGACTGCTGGGTCCCCTCCCTGGCTGCACCTGGCACGAAGTTTCCCTGGAGATTATCCTTGTAGCTCCACCAGTCCTCGGGGTCAGGTGCGGGTCCGATGTGAGCTGGGGGGAGAGCAGCCTGAGCCTCTCCCCTGGGCACCTCCACCCCCGCCCCTCCCTCAGGGCCTCGAGACCCGACCCCAGGCCTTACCTGCTGTCCCCAGTGCAGCCCAGAGTACCAGCGTGCGAGGGGCGCTCAGACTAGCTGCACCGCCCATCCCCGGGAGGCCTCTGGGCGACCCTTCCCAGTGCCCCGGCCCCTCTCAGCTCTTCCTCTCTTTTCTGTGGGACTCAGTCCCTCCGGGACTTCCAGCCTTCCTCCTCTCCCCACGGGGAGTCCCAGTTCCCCCAACACCAAGGCAGCGGGGGACTGAGATCCCCCCAGCCCACTCCTCTCTGTCCTCCCCTCCGCGCCTCTCCTCCTTCCCCCCAACTCTCCAGCCTCCCTCTGCCGCCGATCTTTCTACTCCTCTCTCTGCCTTCTGCTTCTCCCTGGGGTTACCTCTTGGTTTCTACTCCACACCCCCTCTCGGCTCTTCATTAAGCTCTCCCAAGCCGCCTAACTCCATGTCCCCATCCTGCTTCTCTCACCTCCTCTTCCTCCTCCTCCTCCCCCTCTCCCTTCTCTGCTCCTGCCTCTTCTTTCTCTTCTCTCCCTCTTCACCTCCTCTCTCCCCCTCTAAGCTTCTCCCTCTCTCTCCACCTCCTCCTCTCCTGCCCCTTCTGCTTCTCTGTCTCTCTCTTCTCTCTTGTCCCTTCCTCCCTCCTCCCCCTCCCTATCTTGGTGTTATTTAATTTTTTTGTGGTTGTTGGGAGGCGGGCGGGTGCTCTCACAGCAGCGAACACTCCTTCGGGCTGCTGTGTGTGTGTGTGTGTGCGCGCGCGCGCGGGCGCGCGCGATGCCCAAGGGGCAGGATGGAGGGGTCGCTGGGGCCATGGGGGCGGGAGGCCCGGACACCTGGGGCCGGCGCTGGCAGTTGCTATCCTCCGCAGAAGGGGGAAGGGAGGGCGCTTAAGGTGGAGCTGGGAGAGGCCTCCCAAATCTGGGCGCCTAGGACCCTAGCCCCGGCGGATCCGGGGTCCCCCGGCTCTCCGAGACCCTGGCGGGAGCCTGTGCCGGCGCCTGCAGCCCCCGCCCAGGGCTCCCCTCGGGCCTCCGCCAGGGGCTGCCTTAACCAGGCTCGGGGATCCCCTGGGAGACTGGGGTGCGGTGAGGGCCGCTGACCAGGAGGGGGAAGCAGAGACCTGGAGAGGGAGAGAGAGGTGGGGAGGAGGAGCCGCGAAGGCCCAGGCGAGAGAGCCGAGGCGAGGTCGCTGAATGCGGAGGCTCTGGAAGGGACCTGAAGCCTGAGGTAGATGCGGAGAGACATGGCGAAGGGAGCTGGCAGGCTAGAGATGGGAGGGCGGGGGAGACGGAGACACGCACTGAGTGAGAGAGATAAAGATAGAGATAGGGGCAGAGAGAGACCCAGACTGAGAGGAAAAAAGACGTGCAGAATGAGAGAGATACAGATGGCAGGCAGAGAAAAGATACAAACACAGAGAGACAGGCACAGAGACACACACACTTTGAGATGGAAGCAGAGAGACCCGCAGACAGAGATCCACCAGCCAGTCAGAGATGGAAAGACAAGATGCCAGGCAGGAGGGGCTGGAGAGAGACGGAAACAGGAGATCAATAGACAGAAGAGCACAGCAAACACTAAAGAGAGACAGAGCCATAGCAACACACTTAGTTAGGGTCGGGGGCAGAGGGACCCGGGAGGAGAAAGAGGCGCACGCGCACGTGCACATCTGTAAATACTGATGCTCATGCAGAGAGTTCTTAACAGGGAGGAATGGATGACGGACACCCAGAGAGAGGGGCAGAGACTCAGAAACAGGCAAACCGACCTAAAGGGAGTCAGAATGACAAGCATTCAGCCCTGACCAGTGTGGTTCAGTGGGTTGGGTGTGTCCTCCCACAAAGCAAAAGGTCACCAGCTTGATTCCTGGTGAGGGCACATGCCTGGGTTGCAGGTAGGCAACCCCACCAATGTTTCTCTCTCACATAGATTTTTCTCTGTCTCACTTTCTCCCTTCCTTCCCCTCTCTCTAAAGTAAATAAATAAAATATTTTTAAAGAAAAAAAGAAAGACAGGCATTCAGAGATGGAGAATTGGAAAAGGATGTTTACAGACCTAGAGGTGGAGGGAGACAGAGACACCCAGAGAAAGCAGAAATGAAAAGAGAGAAAACACAAGAAAGAAAGGTGTGTATTAATTCCCCATTTCCACATAACAAATCACCCTAACATTTAGTGGCTTAAAGCAACGTTTATTGTTTCACCATCTCTGCGAGTTAGGAAGTTTGGAGCAGTCTAGCTGGCTGGTCTGGCTCAGGGTCTCTTATGAGAGAGCAGTTAGGCTATTGGTCTGGGACTACAGTCATCTGAAGGTTGACTGGGACTGGAAGAGCCACCTCCAAGCTCACCTCCGTGGCGGTGGGCAGGAGGCCCCAGCTCCGCCACATGGGCCTTTCTATAGGGCTGCTTGAGGGTCCTCGCAACATGGCTGCCGCCTTCCCCTGGCGTGAGCTAGTGGGGGCGGGGACAGAGAGATTGGTCCTCTGTGGCCTAACCTCAAAAGGCGCACACAATCACTTCATCAGAAAGGAGTTACTAAGTCCAGCCCGCACTCAAAGGAGAAGCGCTTAGGATCCTCCTCTTGAAGGGAAGGGTACCGTCTGTGGGCTTATTTTCAAACCATCACGGGTAGGGAAGGAAGCGAGAGACAGAGCAATGGAGAGACAGACCTTGACAGTGAGGCTTAGAGGTTGGCGACAGTGACTCAGAAACGCAGAAATGTGTCAGAGAGACAGAGGATGCTATGGAGACAGGGACTAGAGGCAAGACAAGTAAGAATAGGGACCGTAACAACAGCACCTACTGCATACCATGCAAAATTATGATCATTTCTTGTTTTAAAAAAAATTTTGTATTCATTTATTTTTAGAGAAAAAAGAAGGGGGGAAGAAAGAGAGGGAGAGAAACATTGATCGATTGCCTCTCGTTTGTGCCCAGCTAGGGACCAAACCCTCAACCGGGCATGTGCCCTGAGTGGGAATCAAACTGGCGACTTTTTGCTTTGGGGGATGATGCCCAACCAGCTGAGCCACATTGGTAACGGCAAAATTGTGAGCGTTTCTAGGAACCACTCATGTATCAGATGAGATCGGGCACGTCCAGGGTGGTATGGGCCGTAGACAGAACCACTCATGTATCCTCACAACTGCCCCGTGAAACGGAGGCTATTATCTCATTTTACAGATGAGGAAACCAAGTCAGAGGCAGAGGCAATTGACCCAGTCACACTTAGGAAGTGGCGGAGGAGGGAACAAAAAACAAAGAAAAGAGGGATGGAGGAAACATGATGGAGACACATGTGCAGAGAAATGAGGTACGTGCAGGAAAAGACCCGCGGCAGTACCCAGCTCTGATGAAGATATTTCTCCATCGGAAGAAATGGCAACCACTCTGACAGTTTCCTAGATTTGGGGGCTGTGCTACACACTTGGAGGCTTTGTTTTTTTGTTTTTAAATCTGAGAACAGTATCCTTGTTTTTTAAGGATTTCACTTATTTTTAGAGAGAGGGGAAGGGAGGGAGAAAGAGAGGGAGAGGAACATTAATACGTGGTTATCTCTTGTGCGCCCCCTACTGGGGACCTGGCCCACAACCCAGGCAAGTGCTCTGACTGGGAATTGAACTGGTGACCCTTTGGTTCACAGGCCAACATTCAATCCACTGAGCCACCCAGCCAGGGTGGAGGCTTCATTTTTAACCCTCAAAGCTGCCCCATGAGGTGGGGAGTAGTATGAGCCTCATTACACTAAACAGATAGATAGATGTTGTTCTATGCAGACAGAACACTGAGGCTCAGAGAGGGAAGTGACTCGCCCAAGATGTAGTGGGTTTAATGGGCACCCCACTTCCCACAAAAAGATATGTCCACCTACAACCTAGGAATGGACCTTATTTGGCAAAGGGTCTTTGCAGATGTAATTAAGGTAATAATCTTGAGATGAGTTCATCCTACATTATCCAGGTGGACCCTAAATCCAGTGACAAGGGTCCTTGTAAGGAAAGGCAAAAGGAGACTTGAGAGAGCGGACACAGCGATGTGAAGACCCAGTGTGGGTGATGTGGCCACAAGCCAAGGAACGCCAGGAGTCACCAGTAGCTGGAAGAGGCGAGGAGGACCCGTAGGGCCTTCGGGGGGACTATGGCCCTGCCAACCCCTTGATTTCAGATTCCTGGTCTCCAGAACTATGAGAGAATAAATTTCTGTTTGTGGTGATTTAAGCCACACAGTTGGTGGTGATTTTTTACAGCAGCCAACCCCAAGGATGAGAGAAAAATATTTTTAAAAACATGGCAGAGACCATGAAGGATCCAGAGATACATGGGGAGGGAGAGACGGATGGACTGATGCTGCAGGAAGAGCAGGCTCTGCCTAAAGTTCAGCTCTCTTCTTCCAGGAAGCCCTCCCTGACCTCCCAGGCCAGGCCGGTGCCTGCTGTGGGCACTTCCAGGGCCCCAGGCTATCTCCATGAGAGGACAGATTTCATTAGAGGGGGACTATGTCCCTGCGTGTCTTCCCTTGAGGGCCCAGGCCTAAATCATCTCTGCGTCCCCAGCGTCACTTCACACATGGCACACGGTGGTCCTTGGGCGAGAAACTGCGCATGATTAAATGAGGCGTTGCTCCTGTTCTCTCTCCCTAGAGATCCTGGCCCCCTCCCATCTGCCTGGGAGACACTAGAATTTTCTGCAAGGCTCAGTGAGGGCCTGACCTCCCCCAGCAAGTCCCTTCCCTGACGTCCCAGGCTGGGCCCCGTGCCGCTGCCATTATTACACCTTACGCCAGACGGGACTGCACCTGCTCTCCCTCCTATCCCACCCCACTCCCCGACTGGGGGTCCCACCAGAGCAAGTCCCAGCTCGGACTCCGGTCTTGGTCCTGGCATTTCCCAGGGAGACCTCAGGAGAATCTGTTGAACAGATGAATGAGTAAAGTGAAGTAAAGCATAGTGACTGTGGCATTTAGAAATGGGTAAAAAAAAATTTTTTTTTTGCATGGGGATTAAGAGGAAGGCTTCCCAGTATAGGTGCTATTTTCCTCTCTTCGTGACCCCATCCACCTGGCCCGGCCTCAGGCCTCATCTTCTTCCACCGGTGTCCTCCCCAAAGGGTTATGGTTAAGAAGTGGCAGAGCAGGGAAGTGGCACAAGACTCAGCCTGGGAGATCAGGGAAGACTTCTTGGAGGAGGTGAGGCCCTCACTTCCCCTTCAGTCTCCCTTCCCCTCCAGTCTATCTTCCACAGAAGCCAGAGGGGT